TAAGCCCTTCGATCAATCCCCGTTCTAAACCGATTGGAGATGAATATTCTGGACAGCAGCCAAAAGCCGGGCGGCTTTCACAAAAGCCGGGCGGCTTTCGTGGTCTGCAGCTACGAACAGCCTCCTTCAAGTGGCGGTCTCCGATGGTTTTGGCTCCTATCGATTCCCCAACTCTTCTAAGTTAATTACCACCACTATATATCAATATTATACACTTTTAAACGTGTATAAACTCATGTTTAATCCATCATATGATTTCTTAAAAATCATACAATAAAATACTAGTTAGGAGAACTATTTGTGTTCTTACCTCCAATCCTAGCTCCTTCTCCTTGGATTCCTTTTTCTCTTGCTTCCTTCAAGATATGGATGGTGTGAAGAGCTTCCCTAGAGTCTCTCTCTCCCTTCTCTTGGTTCGAATGAGTGGAATGGGAAGGGGATGTACCTATCCTCAATCAAACACCAAGTTGAGGTGTTGATAGGACCTTAGGGAGTAGTTTTTGTCTCATGCAATCCCCTCCCTCCACAAGTCCGCACCCCCCCATGTTGGGATGTCTCTTTTATCATGTAGAGTGTACAACACATGTAGTAAAAACCCCAAATGGGTGTAGGAAGTTTCCCCCAATTATTATTGCTATTTCTGGCCGGTTGGGTCAAAATAATACTCGGGTTGTCCCAATATTTTTGTCAACCTTGGTTGGCACTTTATTGGGCTTTCTATAATTTTCACGATGACCCAACTCAATATTTGGTAGCCCAGTCACATATACTGGACCCGATAAATAATTTAATTAATTGCACATTAAATAATATGCCAATCAATTACATGAATTTTATTTGCTAGGACATTCGAATACATATCAAATTCCAAATTCAAGTACATCCGGGTGCGGTGTCACAGAATGGATATGGAGCATATTTGCCATAGACCGAGCATGGAGAGAGACTCTCGTGGAAAATATCCTAAAGCTCCCTAGCTTCGCCCTCTCAATTGAACAAAAAAAAGTGTTGATCACCTGGATTGATTCACTGAAGTTTCCAGATGGTTTTGCATCTCGATTGGGCCGTTGTGTGCAAATGGAGAAGCTTAAGTTATTTGGTATGAAGAGTCATGATTGTCATGTCTTCATGCAACGCCTACTTCCAGTTGCTTTAAAAGAGATGTTGCCTGCTTGGATATGGGAGGCAATCACGGAGATTAGCTTATTTTTTCGTGAGTTAACAAGAAAGACTGTATCGGTGTGTGACATTGAGAAGCTAAAGGAAGATATTCCCGTGATTTTGTGCAAGTTGGAGAAGATTTTTCCACCCTCTTTCTTTGATCCTACAGAACACCTTGTTATGCACTTACCGGATGAAGCTTTGTTGGGTGGGCCTCCACAATATCGTTGGATGTATCGTTTTGAAAGGTGGGTGATTAATACTTTTATATGGTCATGTGACTTTGTTTACTCAATATCTTATTTTGTGCAATTCTTGTAGTTTCTTGGGATCGGTGTTGAAGACTAAAATTGGAAACAAAGCTAGGGTTGAAGCATCTATTAGGGAAGGTTATTTACAGAGTGAAATGGGCACATTTTCAAGCTATTATTTCCCAGAGGATGTAGCCACAAAAGCACATCACATCTCCAGGTTTGACGATGGCTGCATGATTAACACCGATTTTAGTGTTTCAGTTTTTGCACAAAAGGCAAAAACAATTGGTGCAAGCACGAGGCGGTACATGGACCAAAATGAATGTAATGCTATCCACTCATATGTATTGCAAAATTGTCCGGAGATTGACTCATTCAGGGAGTAAGTTGTAGTAGTCAAACATTTTTATTACACTAATATGTGTCCTCTGATTTAATATATTTTCCAATTTCATTACAGAATGTTCTTCAACGGAGTAGGATCAACAAGTTCTTATGATAGCATGTTACAAACACAATTTCCTCTTTGGTTTTATCATCAAGTGAGACTTTGTAGTAAATTATTTCTTAAATAAGAACACGCTCATGCCTTAACTTTGTTGAAAAAAATGATTGATGCAATATGTGTTTATGTGTAGGTGCAAAATGACATGACAGATCATCCACGGTGGGTTCGTGCTTTATCTGGATTTCCTTCTCCTTATGTGACAACCTACCAGGCGCTTAATATAAATGGTTATAAGTTCAACACTATTGCACGATCTCAGGATAGAGCAACCTCGAATTGCGGGGTTATGGTCAAGTGCACAAGTTATGATGGGTCGACACTTGAATACTATGGCTCAATACAAGAAATAATTCAATTGGAATATCAGGATTACAAGGTAATTGTCTTCAAGTGTGAATGGTTTGAGCCTTCTGATAGAGGTGTAAGAGTTCATCCACGATATAAGATCGTGGACGTGAACACTCAGTTCCGACTATGTAGTTTAGATTGCTACATCCTAGCATCCCAGGCCGATCAAGTTGTGTATGTGTCATATCCAAGTACAAAGAAGAGGATCAATAGGTGGCATTCTGTAATTCAATGCATGCCACGGGCTTATGTGGAGAAAGAAGAGGGAGGAGAATCAAGTGATGAGGAAGGACAACAACAAGAATTTCAGGAGAGCGAACCAGGCATATCGTTCGAAATAGTGTTGGATTTTCCAAGACTACCAAACAACGAAGGCCTCTCATTGCATGAAACGTATGAAGACGAGCTTCCTAATAATGAAGACACTAACGATCACGAAGAGTATGACCTATAGGGAAATGCTATTGATGTGTCAAATAGTTATCATAACCATTATGTCTCTTTATTATTAGTAGTAATATGTTGGATGCACATTTATGATGTATAATGCAAACCTTTTAATGTCACGATTCTGATTTCAAAAGCTTCTGTTTATTTTTAGATTATGTATGTACGGGAAAAAATTAAAATTAGCAATAAATGTTTGGGCTTTGTATTTTATTATTAAGAAAGTCTGGTCTGGTCTGTTCACAAAATTCACCAACATTGAAGTTACTCTTCTGACTGTATTGGTTGAAGTTACTGTAGATGACCACTTTAGATATTTTACATATAATTTTGTCTTTGTTTTATTCATAAAATATATTTTAAAAATAATTATTCTTAAATTAGCAGAATTAGCGAATACAACCACTTGAACCAAAACTTCATAAATTTCAACAGAATCAACCAAATCAGCCGATTTTCAAATTCTAAGAATCAACCAAATAACCCGGGCAGGAGTTCGTTTCAGCCTATTTACCTCAAATATTTGGTTAATTCTAAGAATCAACCAAATAACCCGGGTAGGAGTTCATTTCAGCCTATTTACCTCAAATATTTGGTTAATATTTTCATCTCCCGCTCCATTTTTCCCAATTCTCAAACTCCCTCCACTCATCCCTAAAGTCTCTCAAACTCCCTCCACAATTTCAAGGAACCCTAATCACATAACCTGAGAAAAGAAGCTGCTCTAGAGAGATTTCCTACACCCCTCAAAGGTTATCTACTTCTTTCTCCTCAATCTTTCACTCCAGATTGTTTCTATCACTACGGATTAGGGTTATCAGGTCTAGAGTCGTTCGACTCTTTCCACGCTCCAGACAAAGCCGCTGCCAGTCGCGAGTCACACTTCTAATTCCTCCTATCTCTTCATCGTTTCTCACTTTTGCAGTTAGTCTCTGTTTTTTTTAGGCTCTTTCTTCTCATCGCTCAGTCCACAAAATCGATGTGCCCCTCTTCGACCTAATACGACGCTGCGATGGTACCGGCTCTGTCTTCTCTTCTATTTTCAGGTTTCCCTCTTCTTTGAGTAAAGGTGCCCAGTGTCCACCAGTCCAGTATCCAAGTAAACGTATGTTCATTGTAAAGGTATTTGGATTATATTATTGTACTTATTAACAATTTAAGATAGTTCTAAAATAGTTTGTCACTATGTTTAATTAGTATGAATCGAACACCCTTAATTTTACTATTCTTAACATGACTTTGAAAATGATCGAACAGGTGGGAGGCCACATCAGTGAAGCACAATAATTCAGCAGCTGCTTTCCGGGTGAGCTATAGTTTGAGAAATCTATAGTTTGAGCAGCAACACTAACTTATAGTTTGAGAAATCTATAGCCTAAATGCCTACTGATATGAACTTGGAATGCATCCAAAGTGTTTGATAAAATTCCTCAAGAAAGCAATGCAAAATTTAACAAGTAATTTATTTCAAATTTCAAGTACTTTGCAATAAGTTGTATTGCAATTTGCAATTATGTTTTTTTTTTTAGTTTTTACTGTTTTTCAATACCTTCTTTATTGATTCTTGATAGTAATGATGTAGGATTAGACAAGTAACTATGATAGTTTAATTATTTTACCAAGGCTAATTACATTTCAATCCAGAACCAGAAACTAGGACTGATAACTGTACAAAAGCAGTTCAGGTTACTCCATAATAGGTTGGTATTATGTTGAAACCGAGTTGGCCGCCTAGTTGGTGACTAATCGGCGCCTAGTCTGCGTAGGCGCTAGGTTGTACTTGACCGCCCGACTAGCGCCTTGCGTATTTTAGAACATTGGATATGATATAATGAAAGAAGTCATTACATTTTCATTATCTTGGTAGTAATCATAGTTTTAAAGAGGTGAATTATACATCATAATCAAAGTATAGATTGCTAATGCCTTTTGTTGAACTAGTAAATCATTTTCTTGGCAATAATTACTGTACCTATTATTCTATCAAGTATTAATATTGTCACTTTTTTTACAGAAAGATAATTAGTAGTTACTCAAATGTTTGGTGAAGGCTTATGATATAAAAGGTTACTCAAATGTTTACAGAAAAAAGGTTTTCTTATTGCCTACTCACTGACCCGATTAGTTTACGGTGTATTACTCATACATTTTTTGTGATTACAAACATATGCATTCTATATTTTTGTTGATATGCCAAGTTGATTTGTGTGGGGCTTGTATTTAGCTATTGAAAATTTTTTAGGCCAGATTTTCTAGTGTGGAGCTTTTATGAAATCACAATAGCTTTTCACACTCTAGTGTCAAACTGTTATTAAATGACAATAGCTTTACTTGAATAAAGAGGTACGTTCTATTACAGCTTTCATTTTTTAATCCAGATTCAAGTGAAGAAAACGGTGCCACGAACAATTCAAGTGAAGATACAGAAGAGTCTCCCATAGTCTGGAAGCCAGAAGTGTATGCCGATCTTAATTGGGGAGAACCACCTTTGGACCCTTTCAAGCCTATATCAATTGCACGATTCCAAAAGCCCAATATTGGTGTAAACGCAACCGGGAAGTGAGTTTCACCTTTCACCATTACTGCTTTTATACATTTTGTTTTTGTTTTAACCTCTCTGTAACTAAGTAAATTAACTGAAATAATTTAAATGCAGCCTAACAAACATAGTCATCAGCAAAAGCAGTTTAAAATTTCAGATAATTGTGGGTAGGCAGATCACATACAATTTGCACCCGGCTGGTCAAAGATGGCAATGGGTACCAAAGAGAACAAAAGAGCTTTATTGGGATCAGTTCCAGGTTATTTTAATTGTATACTAAATCAGTTCCAGTTTTTTTTCTTAAATAGCATATTTTGTTGAATATATAATTACTTCATCATAGTCATATGATTTTGAGTATTTTATTTTAGTTGAGAGCAACTGGCAATCACATAAACCCGGTGAAGATGTATTGTATATATCATCCAGAGAAAAACAAGAATGGGGAGCTTATAACTTGTCCCTCACGAATTGTGGTCAAGGTATGTAGTTGCTTTTTAATTTTTTTAAGCGTAATATTTTATATACTAGAAAGACAATTAAATTTAGCCTAAATTTGACTGTAATGATACTAAATTACAGTATGTAATGCTTGCTTGGATTAAAAAAAGAACTGATCATTACTTTGAGAGCATTAAAGTCTCGATCTCTATCCAAATGTTACCACCTACAATTCTTTTGATCTGTCTTCCTTGCTTAAAATAAAGTCCTTATTACTCTCAATCTATTTTTATATCCAAACGTTACCACCTGCATTTTTATGAAAGGGAAATTGAATGATACTCCTTGATAGGGGTGTGCATTAGTAGGTCCAAACCGGAAAACCGGACCGAATTGGACCTGAATAACCGCAACCGAACCTACCCGGATATAATCCGGTCCAGTTTTCAGTTCCTATATTTCTAACAAACCGGTTCCGGTCCGGTTCAAGTTTATAACCGGAAAATTCTGGTTTCAACGGGATACAACCGGTAAATACAGTATTCAATTAAATACTCCGTAGGGATTATAAAACAGGGGCGGCATTCTAGACCTGGGGTTTTGAGTTTTGACAATTCCTAGAGTCACAGGCTGCACAGCACGTTCGAGTGCTCTGGTTTCTTTTTTTTCAAAAGGTTCTTGGTTTCTTCTCGTCCGAATATTACAATCACAGGCTCTTCCAGAAGCTTATTGCAGAGCTTCTTGCTTCTTTGCTTATATTCTATTATTCTTGCTTTCTTTGTTACTAGTTTTTTATGGATAGCTTCGGTTATCCTTGTTTTCTTTGCTACTGGTTTTTTGATGGATAGCTACTGTTTTTTTTTATTATATCACTGATTTATAGCATTGCAGCTATAAACATTTGCATATATTACACGGTTTTGGATTTGTGGACTTCTGGATTGGTAGTTTAGGCTCAATTTAGCTGCTGGTTTTTTATGGATAGCTTATGTTGTGGATTACTGAACCTGATGTTTTGGAAAATTCTTTACTAGCCGGATTGTATACCTGCAATTCTCTTGGTCTATATTTAGTGTTTGCTTGCTGATTTTTTTTGTATTGTTTTCAATTGGCTGGATTATTGGAATAATTTTTTGTCTAAGGTTTGTTGTTCATTATTTAGTAGAACCGATGAAAGATTTTATAAAAAGTCAGGTAACTAAAACATCATCATGCTTTTAGGCATGACCATAGTGGTGTAGTTGTGTGGAGGACAGTCCGGTGCTAGAGATTTCCTGTCACAAGCTTCATTAAAGGGATAATATGTTTGACACATTGTGGTCATCCCTTTGCATAACCTATTCATTTTTGGCAGGTTTACTTATGTTTTTTTATTTTTGTTGTATAGGAGGCTTTGAGTAAATTGTATAATGCTTGTCAAGATGATTTCCAACAACAGTCTCAACCTTCAAGTCACGAGGGAAGCTCGACAATAGGCAAGAGCACATCGGCTAAATTGTCCTCCAAATACTTGGAAGTTGTTGGGTGCAAAAAGATGAGGGTTGGTGGACTTGGTAGTTATTCTGAGACTTTCCTTCATCACGTAAATGATTCAAGTGGAGAACGCTCGTCTTCAAAAGCTCGTCGGATGCATGAGTTTTGTGTTTATTGGGATGCACGTTTGAGGGAGGCGTTAATTTCAGATGGTGAAGAAGCCCCCCCAGAAATGCCAATTGTGGATGATCATATTCAAGATGAGGAACCCGATTCCCAGCCCAAGAACTTTGAGCAAACATGGCTTCCATTTTTGAAATCAATGGGGATTGATGCACCCACTTTCTTTCCAACATCGGAGTCCTCTGATGACTCTGCAGACTCTGATAACTCACTAGATTTGTGTTAAGTTCAATATTAATATCTAGTTTGTATTTTATGTTGTTAAATTTCACTACTATGGATGGATGCTAACTGATGAATGTTTTTATTTATTAGCAAGCTTTTGACTAAAGTATGTAATATTATGTGGTGAATATTTGCTTATGCTTTTATGTTTTTTGTTCATTTGCTTCTAGATATCAGATTTATATTTTTTAGTATATATATGTTATAATTATTCCATTGAATTAATATATTGAAAGTGTAAATATATACATATATATATATATACAGAGTCATTGTTTAAAAAATTTATTTTTAAAAATCTAAATCATTGATGAACATTAGTAGTGGTGGCCCTACGTTTTTTATATATAAATAATGAATTTAAAAATAAATTTCATTTATATTACAAAAGAATATGTTATTAAAGAGAAATTCTAATTTCATAAAAATCAATCATTGACGGAAATTACTGGCGGACTGTCGGACACTAACATTACTGGCGGAATAACGGACACTAAAATCCGTCTCTGATTTGCGTCTAACTAGCTTATCGGACACTAATTTGATTTATGTCCCGATTTTAGCGTCGGACAATTCCGTCACTAATATCCGACACAAAGGTGTATGTTGGCAGATTTAGTGTCGGAAATTCCGACAGTAAAATGCGAAAATTCTTGTAGTGGTATATGCTCCAATTCTACACCGATGATGATATGGGGTTGAAGATTTCGCCCAATTTCGCACTCGTCATGACCTTTGGCTTGCTTTATAGCATTTGTTGTTGTTCTTCATTCCATGGGAAAACTGTACTTTTTGCTCAAAGAAGCTTTTGAGAATGCCGACCTGACCACGTTTTGAAGCATCAAAATTTTCTTTTTAAAAAGTGCTTCATAATTTAAAAAAGTACTACGTACAAGGTTAGTTTTGTCATTTTTGACAAAAACACTTCCATTATGTCACTTCAATTTTTTTACCTTCCTAAACAAGGTAAGATTATGTTTAAGACTTACACTTACTCCCTTTCGGTCCTCTGTCAACACTTACTAACACTTCTATTATCAACACTTTCTAAATTAGTGATAGGAGGAAAGGAAATACTGCTCCCACCTTCAATTAAATTTGAATGTGACAATAGCAAGTCTAAATTTGTAAAATCATTAGATTATTTTGTGCGTATTTTCAGCAAGTACGATTACACTCCGGAGTTTGTCCAATCTCAGGAGTTGCATCTGCGGGATGGGTAGATGGTTGACACAACAAATTAATACGTAGTAGTTACTAAAGAATAGTTATGTAAAAGTGAATTAGGAAGGGTTAGTTAACCAATTACTGAATTACAGAATACTAAAACTGATGGTGTCAATGACAAAATAAAAGATATACGAATAATGGAAGAAAGAAGAAAAAAATTTACTTTGACAGAGGATGGAAGGACATTTACCCTAAAGACGTAGCATTATTTGGAGTAGCAATGTTCATTTGCTTTACTCACCGGGGGCGTTAATTGTTTTACTCAATGTTTTTGCTCTTTTATCCAAAACTTTTTAGTTACTTTTATCATTCATTTTAGTGTCAGGTGCAACATTGCTTTTTAGTGGAATCTACCACCTTGTGGGATCAGCGAGTTGGGCCGCACTTTAACTATCTTCCAACTCTATACCTCATTCTAGTGTAGCTTTTTATGTGGCGCAATAGCAACTTTGTATCTGGTTCTCGATTGTAATTTGATTTAAGTTATTTTTTGCCAAAAAAAACTAACACTAGTCTAAGATTCAAAACTCTTGTCCTTGTATTCAATAGGATATAGCTCACACCGTACTAAGTAAATTAGTAACCAAAAATAATGGCACACGATATACCGTAATTTAGAATCATCAAACACAACACTATTATTAGCAAAGGGTTTGAAATTAGTCAGGAATCCCGCCCCCATATTTAGAGTCTCATACTCATTTCAGTTAGAATGTAGTAAAAAATGACCCCCACATTTTAAATCTAAAAACTATTGGAAATATGAATTAGGCAATCAAGCACATTTTTAAAAAGTTCCTACAGTACCCACTACTGCTATAGCATGCAAAAGGAAGTGCAAGTACTAATGTAATGTGGGTATTGAAAGTTGAAACTATTGAGTAATAAATAACCACCGAATTACTCCATTACAACAAATTTAATTCATTTGACTATAGCGATAGTTGGGATATTTTCTTTTGGACTACAATCTAATTGACTAGACTAGTCTGATCCGATCTAGTCTGTTTAAATCTGATTTGGCCTGGTTTGAATTGATCTGATTTGGTATGGTAAACATTTGATCTCTGTGTATTTTATAATTGTTCAAGTCTGATCTGTTTAAGTTTGGTCTGATCTCATCTATCTAAGTCTGGTGTGAGACTGAAAACATTCTTAAAACTTTAAGCAAACACTTTCCACATAATAATTTAACACTTTATGAATTCCCCATATAGCATGTCCGCAAAATATCATGTAGAGCCCGTTTGGAGAACTCTGTTTTCGGCTTATCAGGCTTATCAGCCAGCTTTTTCACCAAATACGTAATTTTTACTTTCGCGCGCTGAATTGTGTAATAAGCCGAAAAAGTAAGGTTGGAGTTACTTTTCTGACTGTATTGGCTGAAGTTACTGTAGAGGACCATTTTAGCTATTTTTACATATAATTTTTTCTTTAATTTATTAATAAAATATATTTTTAAAATATTTTTTTTCTTAAATCAGCAGAATCAGCCAAAACAGCCACTCCAGCCAGAATATCATAAATTTCAGCAGAATCAGCCAAAACAGCCGATTTTGGTGCTACCAAACGGGCTCGTAATATCTTATGAAAATCTAAAACAGTATTCCGTATAATTTACTAATTCTCACAATTCATTCATAACTAAACCCATTCAAAGAACACGAAACACTAAAATCAAATTCATGATTTTCGTAATTAACATTCATGTGTCATGTGTGGTTTACATCACTACGATTTATGGTTTTCAATAATCACATTTGTACGGAACCAAAATTAAAACTACAACCGTGAACAACAAGGATTATTCACTCAATTTGCCAAAATATTACACCGTGAGGATTTAAATATAAATTTAAATGAAAAAAATAATAGCAATAGCCATGGAACACGTCATTGTGTGCTAAGATCTTGCCGAATGTGATTTTGATATTAACATTGTCCTTTATGTGCACCTTGGTTGTTCTAGAATCACCAAAGTGTATGTACTCTTCTTCATTCCTCATTGGTGTATAGGAGGCAAACACACTCTTGTCTTGGCAAATATGTTTAGTTGCCCCCGAGTCTCCTACCCATTCATTCACATCCGCCGCGCCACTATGCAAATTTGTGAAACAACCGCAGTTATAGTGTCATCACTTTCAATCAAGTTTGCATTTGATTTAGGTGGATTTTTGTTTTTCCCAAATGCCCTTTTCCTACACTCAATGGCATGGTGTCCCGAGTTTCCACAAACAAAACAATCACCTTTCCTTTTGAAACGTGTTGTATGTTTGGGCTTATTGTAATTGACTTATTATTAAAATGGTTATATCATACCTCTTTTTGGTCTCGCTCTCCACCAAATTGGTATTTGAAGTGTACTTGATTGTCTGACCCTTGGCACTATCCTTCCTATTTTTTGTCTTTAACGATAATATGAGTGATCACATCATTGAACGACATTGGCTCAAACTTATGTTTGAAGTCTCTCTTGTAGTCCCCCAGGATCCCGACAACTTTTAAATTAGAATCCCGAAAATGAACGGATCTGGTAGCTCTATTTGGACGCCTTTAGATCCTCCAGTAATTCTGGTACTCATGGATTTGTGTCTGATGTCTCTATCATCCTTCATCTCCCATTTGTAATAGTTTTCTATTACAAATTTCTATCTGGCACTGTCCTCGACTGTGAATTTGGCTATCATGGTGTCCCACATTTCCTTCGCCACTTTGTTCGTGCAATAGACATCAATAAACTTGTTAGATAAAGTACTAACAATAGTATGACTGCAAATCTTATTCGCGTAGGTCCATTGTTGGAGGAGTTTGATGCCTTCAGGTGATTTGTCATCGGGCATGGCTTGGGTAAGAGCATCGGCAACGCCATGCATATCAAGCATTGAGAATTTACGTTCTTGTCATCTCTTAAAATTTGCCCCCCAAAACACTTCTATCTTGAAAATATCATGAAAGGGGTTCGCATAGACGAACTGCACATCAAGTTGCATGTTGTGGAGCTACATGGGTATGTCGTGTGCAGTGGATTGGGATACTGCAGAAGTTTTGCTGGAAAATTTGATAGTATTTCAAATAAACAAATAATCAAATCAACTTTGAACGGACAAATTAATGCTGGCGGTTGATTAATAATTAATCAATTATGAATGAATGCGTTTTATGTACTTATTGCACCATTTGAAAAGGTTTTTGAAAGCATAAGGACAATCGACGGCCAAGGTCAAGGTTTTATCTGTAACGTTCAATCTATTTTGTTTTGATAAAACATTTAATAAATTTGATTTGTGTCCAAGTCCTTAAAAAGTTTTATACATTGCAACACTTGAAGATCATTAGTTTTCTCCACTAACGCATGGTCGGAATAACCTCTTTTATCCCATACTTTTTCTATAAATAAAATTGAAGTCTTGCATACAAAGTAGCTGCTGCGAGTGACTTGCTTAAATTTACTTTTCCCCAAGATTTTTCTTGTTACGTACTGATAGACTACCTCTGCTGGTTATATAATATATTTTCATTATCCTCGTAGTTCGGTGTCCGGTTACTCACCGAAGGGCTCATTATATTATGGGGAGAGATTTCCGACCACTGGAAATACTTTATTGAGGACATCGTCTTGACCGCGTCTCGAGCCGTTTTATTTTGTAACCTTGGTTTTGCAGGTTTTCGACGACGAAAATACAACAATCTCAAGAAAGTATTACGTCGTCAGAACAGCCTGCCCATCAACTCATATCCATTCCCGACAACTCCATAAGGAAAACATCTGTGGTCTGTCAATCCACTGCCCACGACATATCCAAACAACTCCACAACATGCAACTTGATGTGTAGCCCCGCTCATGCAAAGCCCTTTCCTGACATTTCCAAAATAGAAGTGTTTTCGAGAGCAAATTTCAAGAGATGACAAGAACGTCTATTCTCAACGCTCGATATGCATGCATGGCGTTGCCGATGTTCTTACCCAAGCCATGCCGGATTACAAGTCACCCGAAGGAATCAAACTCCTGCAACAATGGACCTACGCGAATAAAGTTTGTCGTCATACAATTCTTAGTACTTTATCTAACGAGTTGTTTGATGTCTATTGCACAAACAAAGTGGTGAAAGAAATATGGAGTTCCATAATAGCCAAGTACACAACCAAGGACACTGTCAAACAGAAATTTGTGATAGGAAACTATTATAAATGGGAGATGAAGGAGGATAGAGACATTAAGGCGCAAATTCATGAGTACGAGACGTTATTGGAGGACCAAAAGAGCGTCAGATAGAATTTCCAGAGCCATTCATTGCATGAATCCTAATTGAAAATTGCCTGAGTCCTGGAGGGACTATAAACGGGACCTCAAACATGACTTTGGCCTTATGTCGTTCAATGATGTGATTACTCACATCATCATTGAAGACACAAACAGGAAGGAAAATGCCAAGTGTCAAGAAAAGAAATATACTTCAAATGCAAATTTGGTGGAGACAGAGAACAAAAGGAGGTATGTTAATAATAAGTCAAATTACAATAAGCCCAAACATACCACCAGTTTAAAAAAGAAAGGTGATTGTTATGTTTGTGGGAAACCGGGGCACCATGCCGTTGAGTGTAGGAAAAGAGCGTTTGTGAAAAAAAATCCACCTAAACCAAGTGCAAATTTGGTTGAAAGTGACACATTATAACTGCGATTGTTTCACAAATTTGCCTTGTGGCGAATGTGAATGAATGGATAGTAGACTCGGGGGCTACTAGACATATTTGCCAAAATAAGAGCGTGTTTACCTCGTATACACCAATAGGGGATGAAGAAGAGTACACACATCTTGGTGATTCCAGAACAACCAAGGTGCACAGAAAGGGCAAAGTCAACCTCAAACTCACATATGAGAAAACGTTATCACTCAATGATGTGCTCCATGTGCCCGAGATACAGACCAATTTGATATCCGTTTCACTTTTGGAAAGAGCTGGTATCAAGGTTTCTTTTGAATACGATAAGGTGGTTTTGACCAAGAACAACATATGTGTCGGGAAGGGCTATTGCAATCAGGGACTTTTCGTGTTGAATGTTTTAAAGGTGTTAAAGTGATATGTTTTTTTTGTTCTTGGTTAATAAGTTGTGATCAACATTAGTTTTTTCACCTCATTTGATAGAGTATTTCTTTGTAATAGCCTCTACCGAGTCTTTGATATCTCTATTAATAAATTTGCAATTGATTTGTTATGACACATGCAATTTTTGGCTATTGCTATATTTTTAACTTCTATTTTAATTCTTACGGCGTGTAAGGTTTAGTATTTGTTGAAATTGATGTGAATTATTGCTACTGTACACTTAACCATTGCAGATCAATAAGTAGGAGTATTTAATTGTGATGAGAAAAATTGAATATAGCATTGAAGCTTATTTTGAATGAATGGCATATTGAGAATTTCACTACTTTGGTATATATGCCTGGTTGACTTTTATTGTTAGAACTTAGAAGTAATTGGATATTTGGATGGAGGGCGACCCCCCCCCCCCCCCCCCTTGAACTTGGGAGAAATGGTTATATGTCATTTTAAATTAGCATGCATAAAGTTAGTAGCAACTATTTATATTTTATAAAGCCTATAGCACTTTAGCATTATGTTTGCTTATAAATAGACATGTGAAGAATAGCTACAGGTGTAGTAATGTTGAAATAAATACGTATTCTAAATTGATATTAGAAGAGAAAAGGCTATTTGTTTTATTTTTGATAATACATAACATTAACTTAAAGCTAGGTATTTAAATTGATACATACAGCCAAATTTCTCCTTGAACTTTTAAATTTTCTCTATATATATGTAACATTTTAAAAAAAAATTATACTATGAAATAATTTTTAAATGATATTAATATTAAATGATATTAAATGATATTAAATACCTTACGCACGAGTTAAATAATTTTTAGACCATGTGAAATAAATTCAAAATATAAACATTTGTTGACGTTAAATTACACAATTCATTTACTTCTTACTTTCTAAAAACAGTTTGTTGCATAGATAATAAAGTTTAACTTCATTTAGCATTAATACAAATATAATATGCACCATATATATGAATTATTTAACAAAGTAATCTTCCGATCAGGAATTTCCTGACCGGAGCGCCGTCCGGCCTCCTTCTTTTTGGGGCCTTCTCGGTGGTATTTTTTGCTCAAATTTTTTGAGTATGTTCCTCATCAAGTCTAGTTCATCCATACCAAATTTCAGCAAAAAATTCAATCAAGAAGGTCGTCAAATGATTTTTGCAAGTTAAATGGTCCGGAATAAGTATTTTCCGGACCAGTTAACTTGCAAAAATCATTTGATGACCTTTCTGATTGACGTTTTTGCTGAAATTTGGCATATATGAACTAGACTTGATGAGAAACATACAAAAAAAATTGAGCAAAAAATACCACCGGGAAGGCCCTCAAATGGAGGAGGCCAGACGGGGGTTCCTGTCCGGAAATTCCGGACAGGAATATTTGCGTATTTAACAATACTGTGTAATAGTAGTATTCAGAATATAATAATATCATACATACTATTGTAATATTAAGAAGACTTCTCGCGACCCACGAACATCCTCCTTGATAGACAAAATTGCTAGTCAAAAATCAATTTTTTATTCTGATAAGATTCATGTGGTTAAACAAGGCATAAATTATTTAAAAAACATTGGTTGATGTGTACTTTTTAAACTCTTTACCTTCAAATAATTTAATAAAATGTTCTATATGCTTTTTAAATTTCCTTTGATTTGCCATGCTTTAATGAAGGATTTTTTTTATGAAGCACTTACAGTTAAAGGATTGTTTAAACTTAGAATGCAATAGATTTAAATGTCATCGTGTATGTATTAATGGAATTTTTTGGATAAAATTAGCCCTACAATGACGAAAATTTACCCTGCTACACTAGCGGGTTTTTTTTGCCCCGCTACACTTGCGGAAAAATTCACCCATACACTAAAAACAATCACCCCCAATTCGAAATTCTGGATCTGTCCCTCCTTACTCTTAATTCGTAAAGTACATCATATTGCTTCTGCATGCATTTTCGAATTCGTAAGTTACTTTTACATGCAATTGTGAATTAAGTTGAAAATTAACAATGTTGAACCATTTTTTCTTCTGGAACTCTTCGAATTTACTACAGAGGTTGTATTTTGATGGTTAATGATTATATCTGTACATTAAATGACTAGCTGAATTTGCGTTATGTGGGGATTCTAAATAATGCTGGTGAATCAATTAGTCTATGCATCTCATTTTAATTTTTCAAAATTGTGGGGGCATTCGATCTTTTTGCTTTTGCTCATAAATCAAATGTGATAAAGTATATTCTGAGGTACATTTTCTTTATTAGTAGAGTAAATTGCATACCCCACTAATATGCAAATAATACACTACGAAGTACGGAGTATGAGTTATTTCTTTTCACTAACTTGTTCAACTTGAGGAGCCATATTGAGATTGAACAAATGGGAATATATTAGTCTCATTTTATTATTGATTTTCTAGAGGTTAATCTTTATGCAAGTGTGAGTTTGTTATAACTTGACAAGCTGTGTGTATGTGAGACCCGGCTTAATGTGGGAAGATATAGAGAGAGAATGTGGAAACACAAAAGTGTATTTGGTGAGCTAATCCACTGTATTAAAGAGATACAATGATGATATAGTCTTAAGTGATATTATTGTATAGACGTATACAATAATTAATACGAAGTATAAAGTTATCATATAACTTTGATGAGTGGAGTTGATAATCTCCTTTAGCGCGCGGAAATCCTATGATATTATATAATGAGATACATCGAGGGAAATAGACTGTCACTTGATAACAAATAGGCATTATAACCCAACATGTGTGCTTGGAGATCCCATGAAGCATGTTCATATGGGTAATAACAAGTCTTCTATTTGTTCTGGTAGCCTACTTTATGTTCATTTCAAGGATGAAGCTACATTGCACTACTTTAGAGGTTGAGCTAAAGCTCTTAATGATTATCATAGCCCTTATGAGTGGTGTGTTAAGTGTGAGACACACTTGATGAGATCACCTATATGAGTGTTAGGTGGGGCCGCCGCCATGAAGCACTCAAGAAAACCAGGCATGCGCACAGCCGAAAGGCGCACAACGGCGTTAAAGAGAGGAATTGTGAGGGTGAGACATGACCGTTAAGACCCTGATTTACCAAAGTAGCTTACTAGTTCACAGAAACGATATGTTTCACCAGAAGCTAGGTTTATAAAGACTTAATCGTCTCGGTATGGTTCATAGTCTAAGGACACCAGACTTAAAGTCCCATTCCTGTTAATCCAGCTTATTTTATTTATGTATTTAGGTATACTTGTTCCTTGAAATCTAAATACAGTTTAAGCATTAATCACATCAGATTTCTCTATGCAAAACTAAACACATGCAAGTGACTTTCGTACTATCATCCTCTTTCCCTAACATTTTCTGGGATAGGACATAACCCTATCTTTTAGTGCAACTATGAACTCAATAAGCATGCTTGTGCTTTTTTGAAACATGTTCAATGTTATGTTTTGTGTGAGTGTTAATGTATTTGTGAGTTTAGAGGTTCCTCCAATTGGATTCATTAGTTTTTTATTTGTTGTACTATTACTCATAAGGGAAAACAATGGTTGCACGGGAGCTTGGAAAACAGCTTGGAAAACTGCTTCATATGGTGGGGTTCTTCCCACATAAAAGGTAACTCAAGTGTAGGAAACAGATTTGGCCATCTAGGCGGAGAATTTATTTTGTAGCAAAGTTTCAATATATTAGTAATAATACATTTGTAATAACTAAAAAAGTTTACAAAGTTAGATAAGATAATATACTTACTAGTTTTTGCCTTTGTTAGATCGTCACATGCACCTCCAACTTCTCTGAAATGTTTACGTAAGTTATGTTTGTGCCCATGCCAAGCTTTGTGCATTTACTTATCAATGGCCTTTTTGACGTTTGCATTTCTCACATCAACATCAAACAATGTCTGTATGACAAAGAAATAGAAGAAATACATTTGATTGCGATAAAACAGTTCTCTGTAAATGAAAATAAACTAAATAAAATAAGCTCTCTGTATATGATGACTATTTACCGGAAGTTTGTTACGAAGTGGTGCTCTAATACTTTCAGGTACAAACCTCCAATCTTTGTACTTTAAGTCACAATGCTTATGAACTATGTACCTAATTTCAAAGGAACGATCACTCCACTTATTCATTACCTATTCATGATTCATATTATGAGTATAATATTAATGATAACAAAAACATAGAGAAAAAAAACATGTAGAAAGACTGGTTTAGAGAAACATTTCAGTTTTGTTAGAAGTTGATAGTTTATACTACTTATATGTTTTGAACTTAAAATGTAAAACTAGTAAAAACAAACATGTTAATCTTTGGATTGAAGGGAGATCTTTGGATTTGTTCGTTTCTCGTACCTGCAAAGCATATAAAGAAAATATTATACAAGCAACTAATACTAAAGAAATTATATTTAAAGTCTCCAAGTAATCTACATAATGACATGACTAAATAATTAAATAAATTTAGTTTACGTACTTATTCTATTCTATGTAGTGAATAGGTCATACTTATTGCTTTCAAGAAATTATATTTAGTGTCATAGCCATCTATTCAAGAAATTATACTTTTTAGAGACAAGTACAATATGGTTGTCTCAATTTACTTGAGACGTACAAATTTAGAGGCAACCATAATTTATCTAATGCTAAAACATACTTTTAGGGATAACGGAACATAATTAACTTGTCTTGAAGAGTTGTCTTTATAAACAAGTTTTGTTGTTGTGGGTCTTAAAACCTTGCAATCTTAAATGAGTCTATTCAAAATGAGCGGCGGGGTGTATGATCATTTTTTATGGTCAAACCTTTAATTTGTTTCAGGTTTTTCCGGAGTTCTAGGGAGTCTCTCTCGGTTAAATACTCACACTTTAAATCTTCATGAATGTGACGTCGGAGAAAAATTATAGTTTTTGTTTTATCTTCTTTCGATGTGGTATCATCAATTTTCGTGGTATCACCCAAACTTTTGACATCTAAGTTCATTTCAACATCTAACACAGATAGCACCTACGTGACATTTGACAGGTTGATAACTACAAAAGAAAATAATACGGAGTATTACTTTATTCTCATGTAAAGTATCATGACATCATGCAACGTATCAGATCACACATTGGCTCCGTTTGAAAACCAGCGGATTGCCCCAAACCGCCATTTATATTACAAAGAAAACGCTACGTTTTATAGCGGGTTGGCTGCCATCCGCCAACAAACAAACGGCCCCATTATCATATAAATTTAATAAACTTAATGGATTATTGAACAATTCTCATTCAAAGAATACATTCTAAAACATTTGAATTTGAATTCTTAAGTCATATTATATGCTAACTAAGTTTAATTACGTCATTAGTTAATTAATTGGATGAGTAAATGGCTTACTGTAATCGATATTTATTCATAAATATATGTCATTAAAGTCTAAAAAAAACGGTGATGGGATATAAACTTGTTGAATTTACTTCAATTTACTTCTTTCTATGTAAAAAGATGAGGTAATAAAAACACCTCCATATTCGAATGTATTGCAGATTATTACAAAGTAACTTTTCAGAAAATTTGTACGTAGTTGGACATATTCAAAAAATAAGCATATTGTATTCTGCAAACAAGTCGCTAATAGTAACATTATTCCATTTAATGCAATAATCATGAGTTTCACCTAAGCTGTTTATCGAATCAAATGTAGACTGAGTACTTTACATTATGCATGCTCATCAGGATTCGGGAATATATTATATTGGAACATGGATAATAAATAAAAATGATTTCATAACAGCAAATCTACCATGTTATGTTGTCGATTACAAGACAGGGGACATTTTTACCAAATGCTCCAAATAGAGAAAACAAAATCATAAGATTGAAAAGTGAGGCATACATGAAAATTAGAACTACTTTAATACTCCATTTTTATATTATTTTTTCTTTCGTTCAATTAATTAAATATATTTCACATATAATTTTTTCTTAATTTAATAAATTCAATCCATTCAATTGTTTCGATCACAATTTCACCAATTTTATTAGACTCAGCCAATTCATCTCATCTCAGTGTTATCAAAGAGCTTATAGTAAATCACATATTCATTGTTTTGTATTGATAATGATGATAAAAACTATCAAATTATGAGGCCTTTTGGCAAAACACTGATTTTCGGTTTATCAGGCTTATCGGCTAACTTTTTCACCAAACATGTAATATTTGCTTTCGCGCGCTAAATTGTGTAATAATCAGAAAAAATAAGGTTGGAGTTACTTTTCTGGCTGTATTGGCTGAAAATAGTCATTTTAACTATTTTTACATATATTTTTTTATTTATTTTATTAATAAAATGTATTTTAAAGATAATTTTTTCTTAAATCAGCAGAATCAACCAATGCAACCACTTTAGCCAGAACATCGTAAATTTCAGCAGAATCAGCCAAAACAGCCGATTTTCGAGCTACCAAGCATGTTCAATTAGGAAGATTGACTACTCGTTTATTTTACAACAAACACATTCGTAGTAGAACTTATCGAAACAATTGCGGCTTAATTGATACTCCCTCCGTCCCAATTTGTAAGATACATTTCGGTTTACGATGTTTGACTGACGATAAAGCAAATTGATCCCTGTCAACACCCAAATTAGTTCTAGAAAATAAAATTTACATATTCAAAAACTACATTAAATTCGCTACAAAACCTGCAAAAAATAATTCAAACTTCATAAACTTTTGATATGTAAAATAAAAGTTTAGGAGTGATTTATGTTGACCAAGTGAATAGTGAATGTATCTTACAATTTGGGACTGAGGGAGTACTAATATACGTATAAGAATAAAATGGTTCTTAATTATACAGAAAAAAACATTGATAATGACAGATCACATCAAGCATTAGACAAACTTAATTAATCCAATGAAAGAACGTACCTCTTGTATTATACAAAGAAATTGTGGCGCGATGATAACACCAGGTTTCACTAAATCATCAAGCTTCATCACATTTTTGAAATTGAAAAAATACTTAGCGCAATTCATGATGCTTTTACCTGAAGTTTATGCGTCTTAATTGGCCATATTGGTGAGATACGGATACTTTTATAAGGTGAAAAATAGGGCATCACAAATGTGATATGAAGTGACTCCTTTGCTATTCTAATGTGATGTTAATAACATAAAATGCCACTGCATACGTGAATGTACATAAATCATACCCTATTCGGCTATTCATTAAAAACTTCACCTGGAAAGCAATTGGATCGACATCTGCCAAATCTTTTTTTTGTTTGGAAAGTAAATCTTTTTTTAATAATTATCCAAAAGTCTTTTTACAATTTGGGATACCAAAATTTTATACTTTTACATTGCAATTATCCGTAGCTTTTCTATTAAGTACTCCGTATTTAACTTTTTTTTTATATTTATCCAAAAGTCTTTCAGATTGTTTTTTGAAAGGAAAGTCTTTTAGAATTTAGTGTAAAATGCATTGTTTTGACATTGTTTGATAAATTTTGCACTGTTTTGTACTATTTTGATATAAATTTATTTATCAAATAAAGCAATGTGACTGTTTGGGGACATTCAAAAAGGAAAGTGTGACATAATTTAGGGATAGAGAAGGTATTATTGTCGTCCAAAAAGACAAAGGTGCTAATTATATACATCTAAAATGATAAAATTTACTTGTATAAAAAAAAACATACTTCTGTACCACTACGGGGGTACATACCAGGCCAGGAAACAATTTACGAGGAAATAGGTACTATCGATGAGGTGGAGAAGAGTACTTTATCACGTTTATACTATAGATTACCCTACTCACATTGAGGTGGAGAAGAGTACTTTATCACGTTTATACTATAGATGAATCTACTCACGTTATGGATATATTTATCTGCTGCATGATATGGCCCAGTCGGCAAACATCTTAGCGGTGTTTGTCAACGAGGTGGAAAGGCAACTAGAGACGTAAAAGTCTGTCAAACTTAATCGACACGAGCATTAGTAAAGTAAAATTTGTGTAGCTGAGGTTTGTGCAGAAAAGACAAACTTAACCGGAACAACAAATTCTTTACTTAAAAAGAAAAGTGTCATGCAAAACTAGTGGAACAACCAACAAAAGAAAATTAGTGAAGTTTTAAGGAACGGGGGTATATCTTTTCTTTATTTCTTTAATAAAATATAGTTTAAATATAATTTTTTCCTAAATCAGCCAAATCAGCCAACACATATACTTCATAAATTTCAACAGAATCAATCGATTCAGTCAATTTCAATGTTAACAAACGGGCTCTTAATTAATTGTTCACTCATGGTAATTTGAGTTTGCACTCTATTTTATTGCCCAAGTTGACTTTGCACCCCGTTTTTAAGAACCTTTGTTTTTTATTTGGAACCACAATCCCGTAGATCAATAATTGTTGAAGGCCAACATAATTGTTAGTGGAGAGGCATTTTTGTCTTTTGATACGGGGTTGGGTGCAAAGTCCAATTTGAATAATAAAATGATGTGCAAATTCAAATTATCCAAAATAAAATGAGCAAAAAAAACTATTGACAACATTTTGGAATCCTTGAAAAATAAAATGAGCAAAATATTTTTATTGACCACATTTTGGAATCCTCGAGCCTCGAGAAAGTGATTACAGAAGAAGTGATTAATCATCTTGCATAATGTGAGGAAAAGCAGTCCACAAAAGAGGCATAAATGAGTGCAGATTTGAACCGGAGTTCAGAGAGTCTGTAAACAAAATCATAAAAGCTTGGTGCCAAAAACTCATATGCCTCATCATAAAATCGTTATACTAGCTTGTTTTTTATTTGTTCCAGAATAAAAGTTCATTAGAGTGGAGTATGCTTGATGCTTCAAAATACCACTCATTATTGTAATCAATGAAATTTGTTCTCAGATTACTTTGTAATAGTTTTTATAATTTATCGAACTAAATACTACCTTCGTTCTCTTTTGATTGCAAAATATTGGATTTTATGCACTATTTACATATTCTACTTTGACTACATTTTATTTATTAATGTACTATAAATTAAATTTTAAAAAATCAATTTCTCTGTTTTTAAATTTTCATTTTTGAATTTTTTAATAATAATAAATAAAAGATATTAATGGTCAAACTTGTGCATTGGCAAACGTGAAATGTTGACTATTGCAATTAAAAAAGAACGGAGGAAGTATATAATTCTTATAAGGTATTTGTTTAGAATGTGGTTGTTATTATTAAAACGCTACTGAATAAGTAATGGTCTCGACAAATGTATAAATAATAACGACGGTTAAATATTTTGTCGTTATTAAATAACAATGGAGAATTTCATTAAAAAAATAAATTATAACAACGGAGAATTATGTCGTTATTACGTAACGATGATTGAATTTCTTGTCTTTAATAAGTTTGGAAGTTGGCGATTACCTCATTTTAGATTGTTTACGTCATTAGAATAAACCATACTTCCATACAGTGACGGAACCAGAACAAAATTTGAGTAGGGGCTAAAAAATTTGAACCGCTATTTGGGAAGATCCATAATCTGTATCGTTTTTGGGTATATATTTTTAGTAATTTGATCTCAAATTACTATATAATATTATTCCCATTTGTATGAAGTGACACTTTATTTGTATATATATATATAATTCGCACACAAGCACACATACATATACACCTCAACAGATCAACTTAAATATCGACATTTATTCATTTTTATAACTACTTTTTTAGTGCCTAAACAAAATAATAGACTTCATTTATTAAATGAGTTTATTTCGATTTAGTACGCTTTCCCTTTTATTTTAGAATAACAAGGTTTAAATAGAAATATAGCTAAACATGTAGAGGAAGATAAATTAATAACATACAGAGTATATATATAACTTACTAACTTATCAAGAAAATAATAAATTCTTTTTCTCTTTTCAAATCAGCGATACAAGTAGGTTATTTATTTTTTAAAAGGATATTTTTTTTGTTTAAGGAAATGTATTACATAAATATAATTATACTCATATAAAATCAAATATTTCAAATATCAACAAGAAGTTTTGGCATATTTGTACTAACCCAATGAATAAATATAAAATTCAAATAGTTTTGAAAAGTTTATTGATAAACTTCTTATAAAATGATATAGGTCAATGTTTGAAGGGTGAAACAATTCTTAAAAGTCATTTTTTGTTGTTCTTGTACCAAACAGAAATGTAAATAACATGTTAATATTCGAAAAAATACAAAATATTAAAAGTAATATTAAAAGTAAAAAATACAAAATACGGAGTAAATATTTTGAATTCGAAAAATAAAATGCAACATAATAGTAAAAGAAATGTGGTAGGAAAAATATTAAAAGTAATAGCATCCCAAAAGGTTAAGAGATAAGTAGTGGAAGAAGTGTAATGGAGTACTTAGTAATTAAAAAAGGGGGCTATAAAGGGGGCTGAGCAAGGATCGAACCCTAGTCCCCCCTAGGGATGTAGAACGCTTAAAACTTCCGTGCCATTCCTACTATCTATCTAGAGATGGGTCAGTTAGTACTTATTATCATTCAAACGGGGCTGAGCATGTATATATACATATATATACAGTAAAACCTCCGGCGAACGGGGGGCGGCAGCACCGGCTGGCTCCCCCTAGTTCCGCCACTGCTTCCATAGTTATAAATTTCATAGAGATCGTATATTTACCCAACCCGACCTACACAGTTCAGACCATACCAGATTTAAACAGACCAGATCAGACCAACCAAACAATACTTGTCTCAACCTTGTGCTCTTTATTCTTCAATGATTGTTGATAGAGCTCCACTAGGTGCTTGAGCCTTCAAGGGGTGCACAACTAATTGTTTCTCCCTCTACATTGAAAACATATACTCTCTTTTTTTCCTGGGTCACCCTTACCATAATTTTCATTTTTCTGCCACTTCTGGCGGCGAGATGAACCTTTGAAGTGACTAACCAGACCACCTCGATAATTATGATTATCCTGATGAGTGTGACCACCACTATGTCCAAGATTGTCATGGTAACTCTTCATATTTTGACCATGTCCATTCCTCCGACCACGATTGCTAGCATGGCTTCTTTCCTTGTTATTATTATTGGTCACCAGATTCGCTTCAGGGAATGGATGGGACAGAGCCTATAGAACAAGATTGATGATTCTTCATGATCAAGTCATTATTAAAGTATATATTTAATCTAATGTAAAAATAACTTCTAGATAAATTTAGAAGTGGAATCCTCATAGCCATCATATTGTAGGTCTTGTCCAATAGAAGACGAGTCGCGATTGAGTGCAATGGAACAATGATCTAATGGAACATGTTGCATGGGAGGAATGATATTCTTGTCAATCAATAGTTTTTACATCATTTCAACCGTACCTAAAAGTTCTCCAAAACGATTAATCAATTTACTACATGTAGGAAGATTAGAATCAACTTTACTCTTTCGGTTTCATCAGAAGGAGATCATCCCCAACCAAAAAAAACAAACGGATTCTCGCCCATCCAAGTATATTTTCTAAAAATTGCTTATTAGTCAATTGTTCAGGTGAATTTTCTCTTCACAACTGTATCATTTCCTACTAATAAGTTAATAATGATATAACAACAACTCATTAATTAATGGAAGATTAAATGTATATTTATGTTTTGTCTATAATGTAAGTTTAGAAGTTCCTTCAATTAGAGACTATACATTTATCAGACTAGACCAGACCAACAAATTTTAGTCGAAGTAAAAACATGTTGACTACTTCACATTATGCATGCTCATCGGGAATATTTTTTTTATCGTCTCATGACTCTCATCGGGAATATATTGGAACATGGATATTAAATAAAGGGATTTTATCAATCCAGGACCTGAAAGATAGATGAATATCAATTCGTGACCTGAAAGATGAAATGTATCAATATAAGACCCCAATGATGAAAAATTATCAATCTAGGACCTAACATTTCATAGGTTTTGTTTTTTTTAATTCCATTGCTAATATTTGGTGAATCTTTCTTCACAAAAGTTTATTAGTTTAATAAAAGTAAATATTATTTAAATTTTTTAAAATAAAAAGGTAATAAAATTTATGAAAATGTAGGTCCTAAATTGTTAGTTTTCAATCACTTAATCCTAGATTGATAGTTTTCCATCCTTCGGGTCCTATACTGATATACATTTCATCTTTCAGGTCCCAGATTGATAATTCGTCTATATTACAGGTCCCGTATTGATAATTCGTCTATCTTTGAGATCCTGAATTGATAAAATTCCATAAATAAAAAATGATCTCAAAAGGTAAAATGACATCAATTTACCTTTTTATACGGAGTGTTATCAATTACAAGCCGATGACATATTTATCAAAAGCTCCGAAAAGAGAAAACAAAACCATAAGATTGAAAAGTGAGGCATACATGAAAAGTAAAATTACTTTAAAACCCTATTTTCAATATTATTTTTTCTTTTATTTAATTAATAAAGTATATTTGAAATATACTTTTTCTTAATTTAATAAATTCAGTACATTCAATTGATTCAATCACAATTTCACCAATTTTACTACTTTTCAGCCGATTCATCTCATCTCAGTGTTATCATAGACCTATTAGAGATATTAGCCAACTTTATTTAACAATCTTTGGACTAAGAGCTTCTAGTAAATCACATATTCATTATTTTGTATTGATAATGCATGATGATAAAAGTTATCTAATTATGTTGAAATTGGGAAGATTAAGTACTCGTCTATTTTACAAACACATACGTAGTAGAACTTATCGAAACGATTGTGGTATAATTGATTAAGAATAAAATGGTTCTTAATTGCGTGCATTGATAATGACAGATCACATCAAGCATTAGACAAACTACACTAATCAAATGAAAGAACATATACCTGATACCTCTTGTATTATACAAAGAAATCGTGGCGCGGTGATGACACCAGGTTTCACTAAATCATCAAGCTTAATCACATTTTTGAAATTGAAAAAATACTCAGCACAATTCATGGTGCTTTTACCTAAAGTTTATGTGTCTCGGCTGAGATACGGATATTTTTATAAGCTGAGAAATAGGGCATCACAAATGTGCTTGTGAAATGACTCATTTGCTATTCTCATGTGATTGTAATAACATAAAATGCCACGGCATACCTGAATGTACATTAATCATATCCTATTATTAAAAATTTCACCTACATATATAGTTAGGGTTGGGCGCCGTCCCGGTAATTTATAATTTTTTAAGAATCGTCGGTTCCATTTAACGGGTAGGTTCGGTACAAGTATACCAAATTTCAAAATAGGAACCGGACCAAATCCGTCCCGTTAGAAACGGGTCAGTTCAGTCCGAGTTCTCGGTTCTTTTTTGTAAAAAAAATACGGCTATGCTAGCAAAGTATCTAGTAAGCTATAAAATTCTCAAACCAGTTAAATATCGATTTCACCACAAATAGTAAAAATTCAAATTAAAAACATAAAACAACATGTTAAATTAGTCAACAAAACATCTAAACACAAGTCTATAAATTAAAAAACTCACAACCACATAAATTAAATAACACCAAATTCTAAAATGTAAAATTTTAGACATGATCATCATCCATAAACAAAAAAGATAACACCATAGAGTGGTAAGAAATAAACTAGTTACTATACATTTTTGTCTATGAAAACAATTTCAAAGCTTATTAAATCTCAAAATATAAGTAAAATTAAGACAATTAAATGGATATGTTACAAAAAATATTAAAGAAAACTTGATGCATTTGGAAAAGAGAATTGGGGGATATAATTTAGGAGTTTATATAGACTTTAAAACCCTTTTTAATAGAATCACAAGTTTGTTTAATTGAGTCTTTGTCTGGAGAAATAAACATGAAGACATTTCGTGTTTTTTATTGAGTATTAAATATAATAGAGTTTATTAAAATAATATTACAAAACGGTTTGGTCCGAGCACCCATTTTTTCAAATTTCAAGACTCGTTCGATTCCTATGTTTTTAAACACCCGCCCCGAACCAATTTTTCTAAAATCATGACTCGGCCCTTATAACCCGCCCCAAACCTATATTACCCGACCCGACCCACAGTTCCTGTACCTGTTTGCCTACCCTACCGCGGGTAATCGTTTTATTAAATGAGTAATTGATATTTTAATTAATATAAAAATAATATTTTAAAAGGTGAAAAATGGCATTGCGTAGACGACTCTAGACTCATACGCCACTTTGAAGTTTCATATATCTACAAAATGAGAAAGAAAGCAACCTAAATTAATTTGAATCTAAAAATAATTAATCTTATATATAATTATTCACGAAAAAAATCTGATAATAATCAAACAAGACTATTAAAATATATTTATTATGAACTTTCATTCATACACTATAGTTAATACATCTATCATCCATATATACACATATACAATAGAAAAATATCATCTTTTAGTAGTTGTGAGACAAATAATAGATAAAAATGTGATAAAAATATAACTACAAATAAACGGGTATGGGGCGGACATGTATAAAATCGTAACCGCCTTGTTACTCATAAAAACAAAACAGGTATTATCCGCCCCGTACTCATTACCAGGTCAATGTGGTTTTCCCCCTTTTGACCATGGCGGTTCGGTGCATGCGGGTATCCATCGGATTGGTCACAATTGTCATCCCTAATACAAAGTATCATGCTCCTTCAGTTCCTTAATAAAAGTCACAGTTTGACTTCACACATACACTGTATTAAGGAAACAAAATCATTGAGGGGTAAAGTTTACTGTAGAATACAACTGATATGCACTAATTAGTAGTGCATAAATGTATCTTTTTATGTTTGATTTGTGTGGATTGTTTACCATTTTATTTAGTTTGTAAACATTTGTGTGATTTTAGTTGTAATTGTATTTTAGTTCTCATTTGTAAGTTGTAAAGTAGAGTTAGGATTTATGGTGTTGGAAAGGAAGACTTTGAAGTGAAGAAAAATGATTATTGGCTGCCCAGGACAATCACCCGGTCGGGTGAGGTATTGCACCCGGTCGGGTGAGACATTTAAATGCGAAACTGCTCAGGAAATTACATCACCCGGTCGGGTGAGGTATTTCACCCGGTCGGGTCCGACTTGACCCGGAACACCAGAACGTGCCGAAGATCGCCAGAACGTGGAAGATATTTGATTTTGACATGCACCCGGTCGGGTGGGCACTTTACCCGGTCGGGTACCCGGCCAAAGGTGTTGAAAAACACCTATAAATAGCCCCATTTTCCTTCACTTTTAATCATCCCTTCTTCCATACTTCTTAGCTCAGTTTAGACAAGTTCTTTCTTTATATTTTTCATCATGTTTAGTCTCCAAATGAGGAGCTAAACTCTTCCATCTTGGTTTTGCTACTTTGAAGCTTAATGATTTGTAAGTTGTGAGTTATTTTCTTTAATCTTCTTCCTTGAATATTAATTACTTCCTATTCATATTCCATATTAATATATTGAGCATTACTTAAAGTATCAACTAGTCTTGTTCTATATATTAATTATTACTAGAATCAATCGGTTAATACGCTTGTTATTAATTCGATTCTTTCATGGTAGTAAACTTGGGTTGTTAATGCATGCTTCTCATGGTTAATAAGCCAAGGGGAATTAATTATATTGATTGAACCAATAAACCGCTTGTGTTGAGGTTATCAATCTCAATCGTTTTCATTTTGATTTTATTGCTACTATCAAGTTAATATAAGGCGCTTGTTCTATATTGACTCGGTAGTAAGTTTTATTAATGAACGCTTCTCGTTATTAATAACTACCCTCGATGAATTGGATATACTCCTCGATTGAGTATTCGAGAGGAAGATAGTTAAAGATATAACCGGGATCGATGAACATTTCATTAAGTGGATAAAAGCAAAGTCAAGTCTTCTTCTCATTAATTAAACCACATAACTCATTCATCTTCGTGTTTAAATATAATTCAAGTTCATTTACTCAATCTAAACCCCCCTTGTTACTATTTTATAAAGAGAAAAGTATTCCTTTCCCTGTGGATACGAACCTTACTACACTATACTACGTATTAGTGTCGTATTGATTATTATTTTGAGTGCACACCACGACAAAGTGCACGTCAACAACTTTCTGACACCGTTTGACAATTTTTGCAACGTTTGTACTGTTTTGATGTAGATTTGTTTAGCAAATAAGGGAGTGTGACTATTTAGGGACATGCAGAAAAGGAATGCGTGAATTTAATTTAGAGACGGAGGGAACCTATATTATTAAATAATTACATTTGAGATGATAAAATTTACTTGTATAGCCTAGTAGCCTACTTGCATACCATTACTAGGAAACAATTTACCAGGAAATACTGCATATATACCTTCGTCCCTCTAATATTGGGATGGAATCATGGAAGAAAGCTGTGGCGTATCCAGGAAATTTGGCGAGTGGGGGCAAACTTGACTACCATTTAGTCTCATATTTCACAAATAACAAATCACATTATTAATATTGTTTGATTAAATTTAGTTTATAATATCTATCTACAGGTATGAATAAAAAGAAAATTAATTTATATTACGGGTGTGTAAAGATGTAATTGCAGATAAAATGTAATAAAATTACTTAAATACGGAGTATAAGTTAAACATAACAAAATTTAGTGATTTTTTTAGCCTTTCATTCTTTTAATATTAAAGAAAACACTTTTAATCCTATTTTAGAATTTTTTCTACATTTAACTCTTACTTTGAGCAATTTCTTGTAAAAATTTGGACATATATATAGGGGTTGGGTTGGGGTTGAGTAGGGGCGGCTGCCCCCATAGTGGATACGCCACTGGAAGAAAGTGGTGTAGTTTTTCAGAAAAGTTGAATTATGTGGTTCATAAAGTGAAAATAAAGTAATAATCAATTTGAGGCACACAAATATTACCAAATTTAGTATGAGACATTTTTAGTGGGACAAACGGAATCGAAAAAATGGGACAATTATAGTGAAACGGATGGAGTACGTATTATCGTACATGTATAAATTCACCGGTATATCTACGTCCAATGCTTATCGTTTTGTTAGTGATTTATGTATAGAAGCAAGAGTAGATGAAGGATAAAACAAGAATGAAAGTTTTTTGGGTCATTGAGTTTCAGAAACTTTATTTAGACTTGACAACCTCAATTTCATATACTACCTTCGTCCCATAAATTAATAGTTCTCACTTTCTTTCTTGGGTCGTTCCAAAAAATAATTCTCATTTCCCTTTTTGAAAAGTTTTGTGTGACTACCATTCATTTACCTTTTCTTACTCAACCACAATCATACATTTCCACTTTATTCGCACTGATGGAGTTATGGGACTAGGCCCAGAGCCTAATCGGCCCAAGCACCGAACTTAGACCCATGGACCCAGATCCACAACTTGGAGCCTGCCTACCACCCCAAGGGGGAGCCTGCCAGTCCGGCCGACCTGCCAGCCAAGAAGTAACGGTCAAGCAATTAATGCGTTGTTTAATTATGTATTTAATTCTATATTAATGTTGTAATTAATTAGTCATTAATATCGGTAGCGGTTACGAATTGTATACGCCTATAAAATGTAGATTGTAATTCAAACTAAGGGAGCAATTTCATATGGTATTTCTGGCTCTCAAACTCTCTAGCTACTTTCCATATTTATATTGCTTTCTACTTTCTGCTTGAGTGTTCTATTTTGCCATCAAACTGTTTAGCTACTTTCCATATCTTAAAAGCCTACGAGCGTCCTATTTTGGACCAACATTGGTGCTTTCATTGAGAGCCTCTAATTGTCTCTCAATTAGAGACAAACACTGAAGAACAAACTGTTCTTGAAATTTCAGAAAAGTTGTGGTTGTCGTCCAGGACGTCGGCCGACGTGAAGGCTACACCAGATCTCGCCACTAACACTGGAGAGTCATTGTTCGGATCTGGCCGGCACTCCTCCGGATCCCTTCTCCGATTCTCACAAAGCTTCCAGTCCAAAAAAAAAATCAGAGTGGAATATCACTGTATCTTGAGGTGAGGCCGCCGCGGCCGTCTGTTGACGTCCATGCCGCCTCCGTGCACCCTTAGAGCAAGGCCAGCTGTGTGAAATCCGCCGGAGTTTGCGACCAGGAAGTCAATCGAGTCCATCGGCGATCTCACACTTGAGGCAACAACGGTGCTCGCACGTCTTTTCGGCGCGGCAGGAGATGGCCGACCAAGGTCTCTGCACAGGGGGTTACGCTAGCTGCTCACTTTGCTAGGTTGATTTTGGACCTGGAGTGCTTATGGGCCAAGCTCACTTGAACTGGTTTTTCTTTTAGACCGGCCGAGCTTCCAAACAACAGAAAAGCTAAGTATACTCCTGAATTTTACATCATCATTAATCCAAAAAAGATTTGAAAAAAAAATCATAAATTCAAACACTTGAAAAGATAAAGTAAGTGGTATAATTGCTTTTACTCTTTTCAAATGTGTGTAATTTTAACATTGAAAAACGGACTTATGAAATCCGATCACTCACATCCACCGGACGAGCACACACACTCGTACAATGGCCGAGCACACACACTCGCGCCACCGGATAATGTCATATGGGTGTGGCGATTAATAAGCTCCAATATAAATGTTAATACCACACACTCTTGATTTCATACAAGTTCATGCGTGCTCTTACCCCTTCCTAGTGCATCACACTCCGACCTCGGGGGACGTGTCGCCCGTTCAAAAGTTTTTACTTGCGGGTTTGAACTACTAACCTTGGGCGGCGAGTTAAACTCTTGTTAGGGGCCTAGAGCCACACTCTTCCGAGCAATTTTTTCACTTAATTGACATTCACATTTCCCGAAAAGGTTGATATACTTTAGTTCTGTGGGGTTGGATTATCCGTTCGAATGGTGACTCCGAGTCACTTACTCGCGGATTCAATCTTCCTTTCGGAGACTGGGTTGAGGCCTAACTTGGGAACTTGATGTCACTCTTTTCGAGTGGTGAGTCTGACTCACTTACTCACCGAGCCGTGATTCAGCACCGGGTCAGATGCTCTATTCTACACTTGTTGCTTTTATTTGTAGGTACGACTGAACGAAGACGGGCCTGATGAGTTTGATCCCGATGAGAAGAACGGTTCTAGCCATCCTCTTCGCTGATGGTGACCACTGCAATAAAGGCTCAAGATTTCACCCTTTGCTTCATCTTGGGGGCATCAGGTGTACTCTTTTTCCCTTCATTATGACTTTTTCCCATTGGGTTTTTTCCTAATGAAGATTTTTAATGAGGCATCTCCCCAACATGAACAAGGGCAGGGATCTTCCAGTCTCGGAGAAGGGCAGCTGACTTGGACTACTCCCTCTTAGCCGAGTCTACTACTCGACTAAGGGGGTGAGGGACTCGTGATGGAGTTATGGGACTAGGCCCAAAGCCTAATCGGACCAAGCCCCGAACTTGGACCCGTGGATCCAAATCCACAACCTGGAGCCTGCCTACCACCCCAACGGGGAGCCTGCCAGTCCGGCCGACCTGCCAGCCAAGAAGTAACGGTCAAGCAATTAATGCGTTGTTTAATTATGTATTTAATTCCGTATTAATGTTGTAATTAAATTAATTAGTCATTAATATCGGTAGTGGTTACGAATTGTATACGCCTATAAAAGGCACGTTGTAATTCAAACTAAGGGAGCAATTTCATATGCTATTTCTGGCTCTCAAACTCTCTAGCTACTTTCCATATTCGTATTGCTTTCTACTTTCCTGCTTGAGTGTTCTTACTTTCTGGCCATCAAGCTGTTTAGCCACTTTCCATATCCGTTCTTACTTTCCTGATTCTTGCTTGAGTGTCGAACGTAGCTTTCCTAAAAGCCTACGAGCGTCATATTTTGGACCAACACGCACTTTCTTAAACTCTGAACCAAATCCTAGTGGGAACTATTTTATGTGACAGAGGGAGTATTAATTTAAACATTTATCTAGACTATTTAACTTGAATAATACTTAACTCTATGAGGTAATTATGTATTACATCCGCCCCCCTATGTTTGGGACAAGAGAAGTTGACACGATTATTAATAAAAGAAATTTATGTGGTTGATATTGAATTGATAAAGTAAGAATAAAGTAAGAATGATTTAGAATCACATAGATTTTACCAAATAAAGTATGGGATAATCTTATTGGGACAGACCGAAAAGGTAAAATGAGACAATCATAGCGGGATGGAGGGAGTATTATTTAACTAGTGTAATATGTGTGCATCCGCACAGGTGAGATAAGCATCTACATTAATAAGTAATGGTTATGAGATCTTAAACGGTAGTAGGTTGATTCAGATGCTCACAAAAGTATTAAGTAGTGATGGACCCGGGCCGGGTCGGGCCCGGGCCGGGTCAAGGCCCGGTCGGGCCTCGGGTCTTGTAATGGTAGGCCCGGGACCGGCCCGGGCAATGGCCGGTTCCGGTTCGGGCCGGGCCACCCGCCGGGCCGGGCCGGGCAAGTATTTTTTTTATTAGTTATATATTATACAAATTCATATTAAAAACAAAGTTCAAGTGCATTTATTTGAAATAAGAACTACATTTGAGAATTGAGATAAAAATAACAATACAAAATACATTTTCTAATGAATATCAATTGTGATTTCCGCCACCGTTGGTTGTTGTTTTCCCTTTGTCACAGGACTTCATATGTTTTATTGGCATCCCGTATCCGTATGAACGCCCCAAGCAACACTCTTTCTTGCACCACCTGCAAGTTGCCCACTAATCTAAGTTTGCCATTTTAATCCGTATGAATGCCCCAAGCAACACTCTTTCTTGCACCACCTGTAAGTTTGCCATTTTAATCTAAGTTGACCATTACCCCAAATACGTCTAATCCCCCCCCCCCCCCCCCTTGATTACCTCCATGGAATCTCCTAACGCTTTTAAACCGTCTTGCACACACAAATTTTTCAACATGGCATGCACACCGTTGATGAAAAAATCTACCCATCAAAGTATTGGCACCACACAACTCACGCAATCTAGGTATAGCAGCAGTATTATTAGTAGCATTATCGAAACCAATAGCAAACACCTTATCAATCAAATTATACTCGATTAAAATACGCTCAATCAAAATATAAATATGTTCAGCGGTGTGACGATCATTAAATTCACGAAAAGCAAGAACACGTTTATGCATATTCCAATCCTCATCAATATAATGTCCAGTCAGACCCAAATAATATAAATGATGAAAATCATCCTCCCATATGTCAAAACAAATAGTAACACGCCCATCAAAGCTTGCAAAAAAAAAATTTGTAACCTTACCTTTTCCGCATTATAAAGCCTTATAATTTCTTTCTTAACAGTTTTGCGACTATAATTTCTAAATTGAGGATTTAAACTACCTTGTGCATAATCTCTTAAAGCAAGACTTTCAGAAAACAAATAAGGCAAATTTTCTTCACAAATTAAGTTAGCCATACCAGTCAAATTTTGTGCATCATTGTAGGAGAAATTACCAAAAGGTTGAGAATTCGCAAACCTCGATATTTGAGTTTGCTTCCCCGTTCCGCCGCCTAATTTTGCATACTCCACGGGGTGCTTTGCCTTAAGATGCCTTGTGGCGGATCCGTATCCGCCGGAGGTTCCCAAACTATAATTGTTGTTGCACCACTTGCAAGTTGCGTGCCAATAGCCGGTTTGTGGGTCCTTCCATTTATCAAAATTATTTTTCATTAGTTCAGACTTACTTTTTTTATTACCGGTGGCGGTTTGGGATGAGGCAGGCTCGTCGGCCGTCTCCGGTTCCAATTCCTCCGCATCTTCATCCTCTAGCTCCTCTTCGTCAATGGCCGTCGGCATTTGTTGTTGTTGTAGAAAGCGGTTATTATGTCGGGCCAATTCTTGTTGGCGTTGTTCTTCGGACATCGCATCTCCATCTCGCCTTTGGTAACCCGTTTCAAAATCATCTCGGCTTTGAGATGAAGAACCGGCAAGTTCTTTACCTTTGCGGGATTTCTTCCTCCCAATCTCGTTCCTTCGATTGCGTTGGAGGTTACCCAAATCAACCGAATATCTACCACCTTCCATCTTAAAAATGTAACAAATATTAATTGAGAACCAATATAATAATGGATACAAAACTAATGCAACTAATTAAAACTATTTTAATTAATACTTCAAACTAATTTAGTGCAAAGTAGAATTAATGTGTGACTTTAAAATTAAAATTATACCAACTTTTGAAGTACTTTAATTTAGTAAAAACTACTTAAATAAAATGTTAAGTACTTTAATTAAATGATTGAACTACTATTTCTTCCTACAAATATAAATTGAAAATAAGAAAATGTGACTTTAACTATAATGACAATTAACTAGCTTATTGAAGTAGAGTTGTTTTAACAATTAATGAGAATACTAATGAAGTAAATAACTAGTATAATGAAAAATGTAACAATAATGCTAATTAACTAATTAACTAGTATAATGACACATGTAACAACAATGCTAATAAACTAATTAACTAGTATAACGAAAAATGTAACAATAATGGTAATGAACTAATTAACTATTATAATGATAAATGTAACAAGAATGCTAATTAACTAATTAACTAGTACAATACTAGTTATAGTAAGTAATATATAATATAATGTTTATAGTATATAATATATAAGTATACTACTATAAGATGAGTAATACACTTATATTTTATACTTTAATATATAAAGTATATATTAAGTAGATGTAGAATGTATGTATTAAGTGGATATAATAATTGTATAAGAATTAAATATTAGAGTATAATGGAGAATTGGAGATTGGAAAATAAGAAAATAAGTATATATAAAATAGATATTATAAAGTATATATAAAAGTAGATAAAGTATATATTAAGTAGATGTAGTATGTATGTATTAAGAAATATAAGTAGAGATTAAGTAGATAAGATATATAAGTAATATAGTATATGTATTTATAAGTGGATAATTAATATATAAGTAGATATAATAATTGTATAAGTATTAAATAGTAAAATAAAATATAAAGGAGAATAAGAGAATTTGAGAAGATGAATATGGAGAATTGGAGAAGAGTAGAGAGTAGGATTTAGGGAGAGTTGGAGAAGAGGTGTGAAAAAATGTTTAAAATTAGGAGTATTTATAGGTTTTTTTAACCCCCACCCCACCCCCCAAATGCCCCGGACCCCCCTGGTACCCCCAACGGCTATATAGCCATTTGGGAAGTGGCCGTTGAGCCAAAATGTATTTTTTAAAATTAAATTTTTTTTTTTTTAAAATGACCGTTAGGCCCGGGCCCGGGCCCGACCCGGCCGGGCCACTAAAAACAGAACCCGAGCCCGGACCCACTTCTCCCACCGGTTCGGTGCCCGAACCGGACCCGAGAACCGGGCCGGTTCCGGGCCCATACAGTGACGGGCCGGGCGGCCCGAACCGGGTCCACCACTAGTATTGAGAGTAGTATTCACAATATATATCATTTGAGTAGTTGTAGTCAGGGACGGACCCAGGGGCTACCATCTCGCCAACAAAAAATAGTGTAAATATATACGAAAAATAATTTTCACCCACTCGAAAAATAATTTTCGTCCTCCAAAAGCCAAAAGTAAAAGTAAAAGATAGATTCTACACAAAAGCAAAGAAAAGTAAAAGTTTGTAGTGTTTGGTAAAATAAGTGTTTTGTTAAGCCAAAAGTTAGGAAGTGCTTTTTTTAGTGTTTGCAAAGCTTGAGTCTCGACAAGAGTTTCAGGCATTGATAACGTTTAGAATTGAGAAGCGGGAAAATTGGCCAAATCTGAATAATGAAATACGTAGTAATGAAATTTGGATTTTTTCACAAATACGTTAAAAGTGAAAATAATATCACCATTGTCACCTCTCAAAATTATTTCTAAAAAATAGACTCGGAATTTTTCCTCTCAAAAGTAGACCACTACCGACTATGAATGTTAGACTAACGTATTGGAACCTTTACTGTACAAAACATAATCAATTCATGGCTTTAAATAGTATATATATATATATATATATATATATATATATATTGTAAAAAGTGAAAAGAAAAGATAACTAGAAGATATTAAACGTATTTAAAATAAAATAAAATTAAAAATAATAATAATTAATCAAGAAATCAAATAATGCATATGAAAAATCAAAGTTGAAAACTTGTAAGTTCAATTTAAAAATGAAATATAGATTTAAAAAATAAATCAGAAAATGTACAGAAAAAATTAGAAAATTTGGAAATATAAAACTGAAAAGTAAAAATGATAAAGGTTTAAAATAGTTTAGAACGTAAAAAATTGTATAAAATAATTTTTTTGTAATTTCATTTTTAGAAGACTTCACATACCCCTTAATTTGTAAAAAGAGTATGTAGAAAAAATAAAAATATCAATAATTGAATTCTTTATACAAATTAATTAATAAAAAAATGAGAATTTATAAATACATAATAAAAAAAATAAAAAATATAAAAATTAAAAAAAAGAAAAGGTAAAAAACTTTCTAAAATGTGAAAATGTCATATTAAACTCTAGAATAATTGAAAAAAAGGTAATAAAAAAAATATATAAATTTGTTTTGAAAATATTTAAAATTATCAAAGGCAATTAGGAACTTTTATGAAACATGTTGAGGTTTTGTCCCGCAGATCCGGAAGCCCAACATAAACTCCGGATATTAAGGACGATTAATTCGGTATAAAAGTGAATAAATATATAAAAGTGTATGAACTAGCTATTTTTACGTGGAAACCCGGAAAGGGAGAAAACCACGGGACTTTTTAGGCTAACGTCCAAGCCCGCTCTATCTCATTAATATCCTCCCATCACTCAATTACATAGTACAAATATGGAAACCTCCATTAATGGAGCTTGCTTGAGCTATTCTACATAGAATTAGGAAGAAGAAGTAATGGGGAAGTGGAGAGCCAAAAATCAGATCCTTTAATTAGGAGGCTTCGCCTCCTATTTATAGAAGGGGAGGGGGGTTTTAGGGCTATGCTAATGGGCCAATGGGCCTAAATGGGCCGGTTGGGCCTAAATGATCCTTGCTAATTGGGCCCCGTATCGGGGCGGTGTATTGGGCCTCTGCACAGTAGTAGGCCGGGGTAATATACCCAACACAAGTCCCCCAGTTTCTTGAGTAGTGAGCCTGCAAATCTACTCGAGAAAGTATAATCCTGCTCACGTCCTTCCTTGCCTTCCCTGAATCAGAGTCTTGGAATAATCTCGGACGCAAGGCATGCATAAGCCCTAAGTGAGGTGCAATCCCGCACTAGACACGACGGCGCTGAAAAGCCAGTCGTTCGTGCTGTATAAAGCGGCAGTCCCGACCTTGAATGGCATGGGTGGACCCGACCGAGAAGAAGGCACGACGGCGCTGTAGAGCCAGCCGTTCGTGCTGCATAAAAGCGACGATCGCCATCCCAGAGCAAGGATAGACGAGCCCGTCAGAAAACTAGGCACGACGGTGCTGTGGAGCCCGTCGTGCTGTATAAGAGCGACGGTTGCCATCCTATAGCAAGGATGGACGAGCCCGCCAGAAAGCCAGGCACGACGGTGCTGTGGAGCCCGAACGTGCTGTATAAGAGCGACGGTTGCCATCCCAGAGCAAGGATGGACGAGCCCGCCAGAAAGCCAGGCACGACGGTGCTGTGGAGCCCGTACGTGCTGCATAAGAGCGACGGTTGCCATCCTATAGCAAGGATGGACGAGCCCGCCAGAAAGCTAGGCACGACGGTGCTGTGGAGCCCGTACGTGCTGCATAAGAGCGACGGTTGCCATCCCAGAGCAAGGATGGACGAGCCCGCCAGAAAGCCAGGCACGACGGTGCTGTGGAGCCCGTACGTGCTGCATAAGAGCGACGGTTGCCATCCCAGAGCAAGGATGGACGAGCCCGCCAGAAAGCCAGGCACGACGGTGCTGTGGAGCCCGAACGTGCTGCATAAAATAAGCGATCGTCATCCTAGATTAAGGATGGACCAACCTGACTCGGACAGACATGGACTTGACTCGACTCAGACAGACCTGGACTTGACTCAGACGGACATGGACTTGACTCGACTCAGACAGACCTGGACTTGACTCGAGACCACTGCGGGCCATCATGAATTCATATCACCTCCCAGCCAATTTATATCCCCCGTTCGCTCGCCTTCGCCGAACGGGTCGTTCTCCCCTAGTCGTTCCAAACAATAGTTCCCTTCGCCCGTTCGTCTCACTAGAACGGTCTGATGTACAATGATGATCACGTCGTGCCGAGGTGGCTGATCGTAGAGCTACAGAAGCAGTCAGATCATCTGGATAATAGGTCACTTCTGCTATAAGTCAGCACCAGGGTTAAGGTGCAAGCTGTTCGGCTTATTTCCGATATTTGTTCGTAGTTTCCTGATCCGCAAGGCATCACCTCTTGCTGCCTGTTGCCTTGTAGGCCCAAGGCTGATGTAACTTGTTCGTGTTATCATCCGTGTTCTTCCTTATCCGCAAGGCAATCACCTCTTGCTGCAAGACAGTTTCACAATTTGTGTAGTGTCTGCCATCTTCCAAGCCCATAATTCCGATGCATACCGTCGATTTTACCGTCCGGGGTCATCCATATCATGAGGTTGAGATGTCCATCCTGGACCATTGAAAATAAGGCTCCCAAGTCGGGTCTCCCCCTTATTCTCTGCCAAAATGGAGACTCGCCTCTTGGTTACAGCTCGGGTTCCACCATAATAAATCACTACATCGTGGTTCGGGCGAGCTGCATAGCCAAGGCAAGATTTTAAGACCAGAGTCCCGATCCCCCGCTCGGTCACCCTATGATTTCGGATGCCGCCCGGTTCGTCCTACTCAAGATCTTTTACACCATCTCCCAAGCTGATTCCGGGCTTGGTTAACCTGCATCTTTTTTTTTTTGTGCTGAGATGGTGGCTCCCCATGGATCGAGACAAGTGGTATCTATCGATCGAGGTGAGACTTTATGGAATGTGAAGATGCCTCCTAAGCAAATAATGTCGTGCTGTGGGGCTGATCATGATATGAGGAACATGAATAATCCAAGGGTCTTGCGAGCACCCTCTGCTCAAGGACAGCGGCAGCAACTGCGGCAGCGGTCCACAAAATGTAGCTATGTTGAAAGTCAAGCAACGGTCCTTATTCGCGCAGTGCGGGGACGAGGCCGGTCTTCAAATATGATAATGGCACCGTACCAGAGGGTCGGTGGCCATGTAATGAGGTTGCCACTGGGGGCTGATCGGAAAGGAACAAGCAACGGTCCTTATCTGCGCAGTGCGGGGACAAGGCCGGTCTTCAAATATGATAATGGCACCGTACCAAAGGGTCTGTGGCCATGTAATGATGTCGGCACTGGGGGCCGATCAGAAACAAATAATCAACGGTCCTCATCCGTGAGGAGCGGAGATGAGGCCGGTCTTCCAAATGATCACCATGCCGAGTTAGGAGAGTCGGTCGTGGTGAGAGAAAAGTCGGCGCTGGGAGGCCGATCTGTAAATCCGAGGGTCTTACAGGCGCCTTCAGCCCATAATGTTGCTCTAGGTGCCGAACGGCGGAGGCCGGATTGCCAGTCAGGTAGCGTAATCTGAAAGCTCGTGTATCGTACAGTCCATAGGACTTCCCTTCATGTGTTGTGACATCTATACATTTGTAGTCCCTTCTTTTCTCAATCGTCCATGATTCCTTCTACACACTAGTAACCTCACTCTCTCTCAAATGTTGAGGTTTTGTCCCGCAGATCCGGAAGCCCAACATAAACTCCGGATATTAAGGACGATTAATTCGGTATAAAAGTGAATAAATATATAAAAGTGTATGAACTAGCTATTTTTACGTGGAAACCCGGAAAGGGAGAAAACCACGGGACTTTTTAGGCTAACGTCCAAGCCCGCTCTATCTCATTAATATCCTCCCATCACTCAATTACATAGTACAAATATGGAAACCTCCATTAATGGAGCTTGCTTGAGCTATTCTACATAGAATTAGGAAGAAGAAGTAATGGGGAAGTGGAGAGCCAAAAATCAGATCCTTTAATTAGGAGGCTTCGCCTCCTATTTATAGAAGGGGAGGGGGGTTTTAGGGCTATGCTAGTGGGCCAATGGGCCTAAATGGGCCGGTTGGGCCTAAATGATCCTTGCTAATTGGGCCCCGTATCGGGGCGGTGTATTGGGCCTCTGCACAGTAGTAGGCCGGGGTAATATACCCAACACAAGTCCCCCAGTTTCTTGAGTAGTGAGCCTGCAAATCTACTCGAGAAAGTATAATCCTGCTCACGTCCTTCCTTGCCTTCCCTGAATCAGAGTCTTGGAATAATCTCGGACGCAAGGCATGCATAAGCCCTAAGTGAGGTGCAATCCCGCACTAGACACGACGGCGCTGAAAAGCCAGTCGTTCGTGCTGTATAAAGCGGCAGTCCCGACCTTGAATGGCATGGGTGGACCCGACCGAGAAGAAGGCACGACGGCGCTGTAGAGCCAGCCGTTCGTGCTGCATAAAAGCGACGATCGCCATCCCAGAGCAAGGATAGACGAGCCCGTCAGAAAACTAGGCACGACGGTGCTGTGGAGCCCGTACGTGCTGTATAAGAGCGACGGTTGCCATCCTATAGCAAGGATGGACGAGCCCGCCAGAAAGCCAGGCACGACGGTGCTGTGGAGCCCGAACGTGCTGTATAAGAGCGACGGTTGCCATCCCAGAGCAAGGATGGACGAGCCCGCCAGAAAGCTAGGCACGACGGTGCTGTGGAGCCCGTACGTGCTGCATAAGAGCGACGGTTGCCATCCCAGAGCAAGGATGGACGAGCCCGCCAGAAAGCCAGGCACGACGGTGCTGTGGAGCCCGTACGTGCTGCATAAGAGCGACGGTTGCCATCCCAGAGCAAGGATGGACGAGCCCGCCAGAAAGCCAGGCACGACGGTGCTGTGGAGCCCGAACGTGCTGCATAAAATAAGCGATCGTCATCCTAGATTAAGGATGGACCAACCTGACTCGGACAGACATGGACTTGACTCGACTCAGACAGACCTGGACTTGACTCAGACGGACATGGACTTGACTCGACTCAGACAGACCTGGACTTGACTCGAGACCACTGCGGGCCATCATGAATTCATATCACCTCCCAGCCAATTTATATCCCCCGTTCGCTCGCCTTCGCCGAACGGGTCGTTCTCCCCTAGTCGTTCCAAACAATAGTTCCCTTCGCCCGTTCGTCTCACTAGAACGGTCTGATGTACAATGATGATCACGTCGTGCCGAGGTGGCTGATCGTAGAGCTACAGAAGCAGTCAGATCATCTGGATAATAGGTCACTTCTGCTATAAGTCAGCACCAGGGTTAAGGTGCAAGCTGTTCGGCTTATTTCCGATATTTGTTCGTAGTTTCCTGATCCGCAAGGCATCACCTCTTGCTGCCTGTTGCCTTGTAGGCCCAAGGCTGATGTAACTTGTTCGTGTTATCATCCGTGTTCTTCCTTATCCGCAAGGCAATCACCTCTTGCTGCAAGACAGTTTCACAATTTGTGTAGTGTCTGCCATCTTCCAAGCCCATAATTCCGATGCATACCGTCGATTTTACCGTCCGGGGTCATCCATATCATGAGGTTGAGATGTCCATCCTGGACCATTGAAAATAAGGCTCCCAAGTCGGGTCTCCCCCTTATTCTCTGCCAAAATGGAGACTCGCCTCTTGGTTACAGCTCGGGTTCCACCATAATAAATCACTACATCGTGGTTCGGGCGAGCTGCATAGCCAAGGCAAGATTTTAAGACCAGAGTCCCGATCCCCCGCTCGGTCACCCTATGATTTCGGATGCCGCCCGGTTCGTCCTACTCAAGATCTTTTACACCATCTCCCAAGCTGATTCCGGGCTTGGTTAACCTGCATCTTTTTTTTTTGTGCTGAGATGGTGGCTCCCCATGGATCGAGACAAGTGGTATCTATCGATCGAGGTGAGACTTTATGGAATGTGAAGATGCCTCCTAAGCAAATAATGTCGTGCTGTGGGGCTGATCATGATATGAGGAACATGAATAATCCAAGGGTCTTGCGAGCACCCTCTGCTCAAGGACAGCGGCAGCAACTGCGGCAGCGGTCCACAAAATGTAGCCATGTTGAAAGTCAAGCAACGGTCCTTATCCGCGCAGTGCGGGGACGAGGCCGGTCTTCAAATATGATAATGGCACCGTACCAGAGGGTCGGTGGCCATGTAATGAGGTTGCCACTGGGGGCTGATCGGAAAGGAACAAGCAACGGTCCTTATCTGCGCAGTGCGGGGACAAGGCCGGTCTTCAAATATGATAATGGCACCGTACCAAAGGGTCTGTGGCCATGTAATGATGTCGGCACTGGGGGCCGATCAGAAACAAATAATCAACGGTCCTCATCCGTGAGGAGCGGAGATGAGGCCGGTCTTCCAAATGATCACCATGCCGAGCTAGGAGAGTCGGTCGTGGTGAGAGAAAAGTCGGCGCTGGGAGGCCGATCTGTAAATCCGAGGGTCTTACAGGCGCCTTCAGCCCATAATGTTGCTCTAGGTGCCGAACGGCGGAGGCCGGATTGCCAGTCAGGTAGCGTAATCTGAAAGCTCGTGTATCGTACAGTCCATAGGACTTCCCTTCATGTGTTGTGACATCTATACATTTGTAGTCCCTTCTTTTCTCAATCGTCCATGATTCCTTCTACACACTAGTAACCTCACTCTCTCTCTCTCTCCTCTTTTTTTTTTTTTTTTTTTGCTTTTTTTTTCTCTCTCTCTTTTTTTTTTTATTTCGAACCACGAATATCCCTGCGTTTCACAATCTCCCCGTCCGAGCTGGTCGAACGGCTCTAAATGTAAATATTCCTTCTTTTTGTTGCCAATCATGAACGTCTTTGTGCTTCATGCTGAACGTCATAAACATCTCTGTGCTTCATGACTTCCCCGTTCGGGCTGACCGAATGCCTATGAATGTGATTCTTTTCTGCCGGTAATGAATGTCTCTGTGCTTCATGCCGAGCATCATAGATATCTTTGTGCTTCATGATTCCCCGTTCGAGCATATCGAACCAACTTTACTGCACAATCAGCATGGTAATACGGTCGAACGACCGAACAACATATACAAGTATATACACACACATGTGTAACATTTCTTTTTTATTCTTTATTTTTCATCCATGACTATCGGCCGGAGCGGTAATGATAACCCTTGGCCTAGATTTATCTTTTGAACTGCCCATACGCTCTTAGAACCACCTAGTGGTTTCCCGGGCGTTCTCAGGAAAGCTTTCAGCTAATTAAAGTACGTATTTCGCCCCGTAGTGGGTATAGTTGTCGTTCGGGCATTTAATACTGAGCGGAACCGCTCATGGTATCTAATTTTAACTACGTCATTGGGCCACGCCCTTGCGAGACGCTTTAGTTAATTCATTTAGGCCGACCGGGAGTGGACCGATCAGCCATTTAAACCAAACATTTATTTAAAACGTTGGTGATCTTATTTATAAAGCTCCGTTCGGCCTTATTCTATTCGGGAATTTTAATCCCTACTAAAATAATGGTGTTGCAATTAATAGTAAGAATACTATTTAATCAACCAATGAATACTCTCATGCATGAGTACTTGGTGTGTTGTCAAAGTAATACCATTTGGGGCACTCCGATCGCTTATATTTAGCCGATCGCGGGTTGGCCGGTCGGCCCATTAAACCAAATCATTTAATTTTAAATGATAATGGACTTGTCACTGGAGTCTCGCTCGGTCATTATTCAATTCAGGAAATTTAATCTCTACTAAACAAATAATGGCGATGTGTAATTAATAGTAAAATTACTACATCATTTAATTTAATATTTTCATGGATGTCCGGCCTTACTGAGAGGGTCCATAGATACTCCGACCGCTAACTCAGACCGATCAGAAACAGGCCGACCCTACCCACAAAAGGTGATCATACAATTTAAAATGGTTGATGGGTCTGCCAGTACAATTTTCGTCCAACATTATTTATCTAGGGAATTTTAAATCCCTGGCAAATAATTTATTCAGGAACTAATAGCAGTGATATCATCTAGCAATTAACACTTTAATGTATGAGTGTAGAGAACCATAGTACTTGGCACTTAGCTGAATTTGGCTGAATTTCAGCTGACAGATCATGATACTGAAATACCCATGCCACTTTAACATTTTAGTTAATAAAAGAGTGAGATACGTGGTACTTAGCTTTGTGGATGCATTGGACTTGGAATTCTGTAGAAGATATGCCCGTCCAGGAAGCCTTATTTGGAGCAAATATGACCCAGCCCACTGTCATGGATTGAAATTGGTTTGTTTGGCCGTGATCAAAGACGAGTTACCGATCGGGAAATTGGTCGATCAAGATTCCCACGAAGTGCTCGAAAGCCAGACGGACCGTCACAAAAGACGGGGCCTAGACTCGCCGCTGACCACAGAGATGCCGGACGGGGAATTACCGGACGGTGGCTTACCGGAGCCGTGTAGGTGGCCCTATTTTGATTTGCCCTGGTTTCCCAATCATACTGGTCGGTGCGAACCGAACGGGGAGGTGATCGCCTGGTAGGACCCTGAGCCCGGTGGTTCCAGAATCTTGAACGGTAAGTGCCGCACGATATAGAGGAACGGCTTAACCAGTTGATGGTCGGCTGCAGGCTGGAGACCGAGGTCTTTCTTTGTTATCACCGCTGGTTTGTTTGAACGGGATCTTGTATTCCTGCCAGAACGGGAACTGGTTGGTCTCGAAGCTAGGTGGTGTTGTAACAGAATTCGGAGCGCCGGGGTGCAGGAGTTTCTGTAATTTGAAACTGGCATAAGGTATGTAGACCCCATTTTTCCTGGACCTTCCTTGGTGCGTAGTTTAATTTCCCGTTCGGGGTAGAGACTATCTGGATCCCTTAAAACTCCGGTGAAGCTAAACCATGCCCCTCCGAACCCTTCCCGCTCTGGAGAAGCAATACTGCGGATGACAAGGTGTAATTGCGTGATCCTTCGTCGTTACCCTGTTCCAGTGCTAAGTCCCGTTCGGGTTGTAACTTGTAAGTTCTGGTTGGTGGGAAGGAAAACGTACCGACCGGGGATCGCCGCCGGGTGGTGGCTATGAATGCCACGGAAATCCAGGCCGTTCGGGCAAGGATTATGGCCGTTCCGAGTCATGACTTCTTTTATGTTGTACAGGTCCCACTCTTGGTTCAGGCCACGCTTGGACAAGGAGCATATTCAGCAGACACCTCCCGTTCAGGCCTCGCTATGTTGGGATGGGTACTCTTTTCTGTTGATATGTGTAGCTTTTCCTGCAGGTTCCACAGATCGATCGGGCATTTATCCCCTCCAGGTAGAGTTTTGTTCGGGAGTTCCCGCTCGGCGTTCGGGATGTGGTTACTGGGAGTATAGAACAATTTGGATAATCATGAATTTACCACATCACCCACTTGTATTGCCAACTCATCCCCTATTGTCAGGCTTTGTCATGCTTGTTTACTGGAAATATAGGATAATTTGCTCTTATCCTCTCTGCAAGATATTAGGAATATGGGTCCCACCTCCAGTATTCCTCTTCCATCAATAGGTCTTTGAGACCATCCTCCTTGACATGTGCTTCGGCCTTACGGATGACTTTTAGGATGTAGCAGTAGCAATTTTAGGACAACAACCAGGCTGCTAAACGGGATCTGGGATTTCTTCTTTGTTTTTTGTTTTTCGAGATTTGTTTCTTCCTTCCTCTTTAGTTTCTTGATCCAATCAGTAGTTTTTGGCATCAAAAAAAATTGTAGAATCAAAAAACATGAATCTTTTTGAAGCGTTTCCCACAGACGGCGCCAATGTTGAGGTTTTGTCCCGCAGATCCGGAAGCCCAACATAAACTCCGGATATTAAGGACGATTAATTCGGTATAAAAGTGAATAAATATATAAAAGTGTATGAACTAGCTATTTTTACGTGGAAACCCGGAAAGGGAGAAAACCACGGGACTTTTTAGGCTAACGTCCAAGCCCGCTCTATCTCATTAATATCCTCCCATCACTCAATTACATAGTACAAATATGGAAACCTCCATTAATGGAGCTTGCTTGAGCTATTCTACATAGAATTAGGAAGAAGAAGTAATGGGGAAGTGGAGAGCCAAAAATCAGATCCTTTAATTAGGAGGCTTCGCCTCCTATTTATAGAAGGGGAGGGGGGTTTTAGGGCTATGCTAATGGGCCAATGGGCCTAAATGGGCCGGTTGGGCCTAAATGATCCTTGCTAATTGGGCCCCGTATCGGGGCGGTGTATTGAGCCTCTGCACAGTAGTAGGCCGGGGTAATATACCCAACAAAACAATTACTATTTTAGATACTGGAATATAGAAAGAAAATATATGAATGCATTATATATATATATATATATATATATATATATATATATATATATATATTATATGTGTGTGTGTGTGTATGTATATTTAAAAAATATAGATTAATAATATAGTACTTCCTCCGTTCTTTATTATCTGTCTCGCATTCCATTTTGGGACGTTTTTTATTATTTGTCTCTCTTTCTATTTTAGGAAAGATTTTGATAAATACCCCCACTTTTTTTAGAAATTACTTTCTCTTTCCTACTTTATCATAACTTTACTCTACTTAGTATACTCTCTTTCCTACTTTATCACCACTTTATCACCACTTTACTCTTTTTAATATATTCTCTTTCCTACTTTATCATTTACCCTACTATTTTTCTATTAAAACCCGTGCCCAATGCTAGCGGGACAGATAATAAAGAACGGAGGGAGTATAAAACAAATTTAAATTTAAAATATAATTAAAAAATTAAAAAGCAAGACTTTTAATTAAATTATAATGGTTGAAAAATATAAAACTGGAAAATAAAAAAATATGTAAATAGAATTAAAATTTAAAAGAGAACTCGACATTGAAACAATTGGGAAAATGTAAAAATATGAATCTTGCAATTCATTTTTTAAATAGTAAAAATAACAATACTTGTAATATAGTTGTGTTGTTTGTTTTTGTTATATATTGTTTCTTTTTATTGATTAGTATGACAGTTTGTTTTTTATTGTTTCTTATTGTTTCTTGTTGTTTGTTTATATTTAAAATCCAAATGTATCATTTTAATTGATTGAATATAAATCTAAATATGACTTTTTCACTTTAAAGAAGTAGCGATAAAGAAAAAACTAAAATAAACAACAAAAATCAAGAACAACAATATACCAAAAATATTAACACAAAACAACAAAAGTAAACTTGTTGCAACAAAAAAACAAAAGGCCTCTCTTTTCAATACATCAAAAAGCAACATAAAACAATATTGTTGATCTTTTGTTTTTTGTTCTCAAATGTAGCAAAAATGTAGACAAGCAATTCATTCACTCCATATGGTAAGGTCATCTCTTTCACTCCATTTAAAGTGTTGGATCTTAGTAATCAAGGTTGTCTCTAGCAGCAACACAGTTCCCGCATTCAATACCGCTACATTTGAAATGCAATGTGATTACCAATAACTAGCAGCAACATAAAAGTATCCCATCGATTATGTAATTTGGATTTTTTTTATTCCGGAAAAGCAAATCACCAAAATCAGTTGGGTAAAAATCACTTAATCCAAAGTTGGTTAATCACTCTCAGAGATATTTGATGTAATTTGGATTTCCTTCATATAACTTCTTTTTATGCATCTCACAAAGTTTTACAGAATTGATTTTGTTAGCTTAACTTTCCTCAATAATCTTCACTACTTTATTGCTGAAATCAATGAATTGGGGAAGCTTTAGCATAATTAATGAAAAAGAATTTTCAAGCAATCTAGGGTTTGATGAGAAAATGTATTGAGAAGTCTTAGCATCCATCCTGGTGCAAGTCCACCAATATTCTATTCATGCCAGATTAATAAAGTATATAAGAGTAGACATAATATGAGTACTTTTCTCAGGCAATTGTCAGTGTATTTTTTTACGCGAAAATTAATGTCGGTGTACAAAGACAAAAATTATCTGTGTACACAAACAACTCTTATATGCACTCACAAACAACTCTACGTAATTATCTGTGATTAACATTTTGTGTACAAATTATGTACAACTTGTGTACCCCTAACATTTCTCCAAATTGGGAAAAAAAGAAAGTGTGTGACATAAAAGAAACACGGAGTACAAGTCTGTACAACTAGTAAATTGGGACTGAACGGGATATTTCCATATGAATTTTGTTGTTGGCTAAGCCCAGTAAAAGGACAACTGATCCAAGCCCAAGTAGCACCTGAAGTATTCAGCCACCGTGCGGTGGTTCATCCATCCTTACACTGGCGGCAATGGGTTCTTCAGCTCTCCCCATTGTCTCATGAGATTCAAACCCATCTCCGCTCTTTCTCTCTTCAAAAAATCGAACCTTTACGCCCCTTTCCTAAAAAACCATTTCATGGCCACCGACGCTCTGCCCGCGTCTTCCGTAGACCTTCAAAACAATGAAGACGACCTTCTCTGCACAGAGAGTGCGGGACCCACGGTTCCCATCTCGGAGGAAGAGAAGTTTCGGTCTATTGATTTTGGTCGTCCGAATGGGTATTTGAGCGGCGAGGCGAGGATTGAGAGGGCTTGGGCTCACTGGAACAAGTTAGGGCAGCCCAAATGTATAGTTGCCCCCATGGTAGACAACTCGGAGCTTCCTTTTCGTATGCTCTGCCGCAAGTATGGTGCTGAAGCGGCTTATACGCCTATGCTCCACTCCCGAATTTTCACTGAAAACGAAAAATACCGATCTGTGGAATTCACTACTTGCAAGGTACTCTTCATATCAGCTGAAAGGCATTGTTACAGAACAGCAAATTGTTAGGGTTTTGGAATTTACTGCAATTCATGTTTATGCTTTTCTTCTTGTCAAATTTGTGTCATTGTATGGTTTTGAGCTCGTGATTCAAGAATCATCCGCTTGTATGCTACTAGGTTTTTATTACTTCTAGAAAATACTTTCTGACTTTCAGTGTTTGGCATATGAATATTTTTTTCAGGTTTTGGCACAGGGAGTACACTATCCTAGATGAAATTTCTTAAAATTCTTTCCTTTGGTTCTTTGGTATTTTGTAGAAAATGTAGAAAGTGGGAGGTGTGTTTTGAGACAGTTTCATGGTTTTCATTTATGGTGATACTGTGATAGAATACTTTATTGTACATAGAAAAATTTATTTTCAGTGTCACAATAAAGTACCTTTTAAGAAAAAAAAATTCAAGACTAGTCATTTTCATGGGAACAAAGAGAAGCTAATGAATACATTTTCTAACTTGTATGGTAAGTTGTTTTGAATCATGATGAAGTTACCATTTCTGTCTTTTAGACTGTTTATTTTTCGGTTTAACATTGTTCCCAACTGGTTTTACATTTCTTTGATTCACATATGAAATATGGTTTCTTAGGTAGTCCGATGATTCTGATTATGCTGTTGGTCTCACTATGATGAACTTGCAGGAAGACAGACCACTGTTTGTTCAATTCTGTGCAAATGACCCTGACACTTTGCTGGAAGCAGCTCGAAGAGTTGAACCCTATTGTGATTATGTAGACATTAACTTTGGGTAGCATCATATTTCTTACTTACAACACTCTAAGTAAATAATCATGTGACTATGAGGTCCATAAACATCTCCAGTACACTGATTTCATATGGGGTTATCCTATACTTTTCACCCAAAAACTACTCTATCCATCCTAATCCAATTGAGGTTTTAGGAAAGAGTACTTATATTGAGAAACTTTACAAAATCCCTTTTCTTTCCTATATTAGCACAACATGGTTGAATAAAAGTATGAAATACATCTTTTTCCTTTTAAGACACAACAGTATTGTAATTTGGAAAAAAGACAAGAAGCACAAATTCAGGAAGTTAGTACAAAATACATAATTTGATACTTTGTATTGAATTCTAAAGACAACAATTATTTTGGGAAAATACTGCCTAAATAACAACAATTTCGAACTACATTTTATTTGATTTATCTATATGGCTGTTCTGTTTACACTTGAGATATGTGCGGGTTTATAGGAAATGTGTTTTGGTAACACCACAGATGGGTGTTCATGATCACAACTATTCTTGCAAATATACCACTCAACTTTGTAAACCCTTGATTATCTATATAATCCCTATTCATTGTATAGTAAGTTAAAAATCTTTATTTATATCCCCTATTGACTTCTTGTGCACTAACTGTGCAGGTGCCCCCAACGTATTGCAAAGAGAGGAAATTATGGAGCTTTTCTTATGGATAATCTTTCCCTTATAAGGTCCCTGGTAGAGAAATTGTCAAACAATCTTACTGTTCCCGTTTCATGTAAAATCCGTATCTTCCCAGATTTGCAAGACACAATCAATTACGCCAAGATGTTGGAGGATGCGGGCTGCGCTCTCTTGGCAGTGCATGGACGAACAAGGGATGAAAAGGATGGGAAGAAAATCCGGGCCCACTGGGATATCGTCAAGGCAGTTAAAAAATCGGTTAGAATCCCCGTGCTTGCTAATGGGAATATTCGGCACATGGATGATGTGAAAAGTTGCTTGGAAGAGACCGGTGCAGAAGGTGTACTCTCAGCCGAGTCACTTCTTGAGAACCCTGCCTTATTTGCTGGATATAGGACATCTGAGTGGACAGAGGGAAGTGGAGGAATAAAAGAAGATAATAGGGTTGACCAGGCTGAGTTAGTGGAGGAGTATTTGAAGTTTTGTGAGAAATACCCAGTGCCATGGAGAATGATTCGTTCCCATGTGCACAAAATGTTGGGAGAATGGTTCAGGGTCCAGCCTGACATTAGAGAGGATCTTAATAAACAATCCATACTTACATTTGCATTTATGTACGACTTGGTAAATCAGCTAAGGGAACGTGGTATACGGATACCATTATATGTGAAGGACAACCTTCAAAGCAGAGGATTTTCTGAAAAGTGAACAATTTATTGAATGTGTTTGTTCTGAGTTCCAAGAACAAACTTGGTAACATTTTTCTCAGCCATTGTTCTTTGTGATCTTACATGAACATGATGACATCCATGCGGCCATGCCTAGTGAACTTTTCAAGACACCAGGTGGAGAACGGAAAGTTTGAATGCTTTTGTCTTTTTAAGGTGTGCAAGGTTCAAACTCAATCTTACACGTTGCAAGGATACTCTATAGCTGTATTAGTTATAGTGGAATTAATTCACATTGTAACAGTGCAAGGGGTTGTTTGATGCGATTCATTGTAATTTTTTTGGGAATATCTAATTGGGAGAGTTTGATTTTACCCCTCATTTCACTTAAAAATCATTTAACTTTGCACCTCGTTCAGAATTTTTTCTTCACAAAATGTTTATGATGAAGGGCAAATTTAAAGTTTTTTAAAGTGGCTTGCAAGTTGCAAAGTCCAATATCATCCAAAAAAAATGGGGTGCAAGTCAAATTCTTCATTTTTAAATTAATTGTCTTTAAACATCAAATCGTTCGATTAAAATAGTGTATTGGCATTTGCTTTAAATTTTGTTGAATATGGTCAATAACACTATTCTAAATATCGCATTAGGTGGTTAACTAGTCCTTGTCTAGGCACTAGTCGGGATGCTTTGATTTTAGTTTGGATGTCTTGAATAATTGATTTGACGCCTAGTTGGATTAATCGATAGGCTAGATTGCTAGAATGCCTAGTTGCTTATCGAGTGTCTAATTGACCGCCCAGGGGTTAGGACATTTAGATTCAGCGCCTAGGACGTTAAGATTGAGTAGGCATTTTTTCTTTCTATTTATTTTTGAAAGGAGAAACCTATTAAACGGATAGTTTCAGGAAGTCAATTGAACCCTTCAATTAAAATGACACCCAATCAAATATATGAACACTTAAAAATGAGGCAATTCTTCTTGGTAGATTCTATGGTACCCATAAGGTACCATAACTTTGTCAACCAATCAAAATGATGCAGTTGAATTATTTAAATCTAAATTAAAAAGGATATAATGATTTGGACCAATCAAATGTATGATAGGTACGGTACCCCATTTTTTAATGGATACTAGAATTGCCGCCATTCTTCTTTTTAACTGATAACGGAACAGATTAACATGTTAAAATGTACATGTGGCAATCCAAATGATTGTTACCATTTTCCCCTCTTTTCCCCTTCGCCTCCACCTTTTGCTCCCACCCCTCATTCGAACAACCTTCACCGCTTCACATGAGTCTTCATCCCCTTCTTTCATCTTCTTGTACACACCATTTCTCCCTCCTTGTTTTCTCTTTCTTCTCTCACTCATCGGTTGTCGGCTGGAACTCCACTGTGCAAAGTCCGCAGGAAACTACGTCCCCTTAAAGCGAATCGGCTAGTCATGGACCCGGTTTGGGCCGCCCGGCCCGGGACTGGGACCGGCCCGATTCTCGGGTCCGGGTCCGGGTCGGGCCTAGGCCCGGTGGGGGGGTCCGGGCTCGGGCCTTGTATTTGGCGAACCGGCCCGGCCGGGTCGGGCCCGGGTCCGGGCCTAATTGATTTTTTTTTTTCATTTTTTGGGAAACACACGGGTTGGGCTTGATGGTTAGGAGGGGTTTGGGGGTTTTGGGGGGGGTGGGGGTGAGGGGGGGTTAGGAAAGCAAAAAAAAATAACCAAACCGGAGGCCCGGCCCGGACCGGACCCGGTGGCTACCCGGGCCGGTCCCGGGCCTTCCTTCCCAAAAAAAAGCCGGGTCGGGCCCGGCCCGGGTCCATGACTAGAATCGGCGGCTTGGAAGTCAAGGAAGGTACTCCAGTGAAGCTTTGATTCGGCTAGTGCATCATGGGATCTCCATGCTACTTCTAGATCCCAGCTTTGATTCGGTCGGAGACCCTAGTCGACGACGTAGAAGAAGGTGAAGTGAGACCCAAAAAATAAGAGCAAAGGACTAACGGGAAAAAGAGAATGGGGAAAGAAAGAAATCAATAAAGAAAAGGGAAGAAGTTGCAGGTGTTGAGGCACAGGGAAGAAGAAAGGGAGAAGGAAAGAAATAAGCAAAGAAAAAGAAAATCATAACAAAACAAAAGAAAACAAAAAAGATAAGAAAAATGCAACATCAAACACCACACGCAGTTTGACCAGGTACGGGTAGGGTACGTGTTAACAAGAGGATTTATCTCGTTTCTAGTTAGTGAATTTAATTGGGTGTTATTTTAGCGCAATTGTTACCGCATTTTTAATTGTTAATGGATTTCATATGAAGCAGGCCACTCGTAGATTAAACAAAAATCATATATGTTGTGCACGTTCTTAAGTTATATTATTATTATTATTATTTAATATTTATTACATAATGAAAGTGAGTGATTAATCATTATATAATAGATTAACAGTGTACAGATCGTATCATTCATGCATGTTAACGTGTGGGAAAAATAGACATGATACAAGTACAAATATTGATAAAAGTATGATTTCTATATCACCAATTAGCGCCCCACACCTTTAAGAACATTGTCCATTGGTATATTATTGCACTGAAGCTTGATGATGAGGACCTAATTGACTTTTTCAGAGTTCGAGGATTTGATTAATCTTTTTAAAAGTATGAGAATCTAATTAACTTTTTCATTACTCTCAAAAACAAAAATTAACTTCTTCATGAAAGTACGATGACCAAATTGACAGTTTTCCCTAAGAAGTATATCAATATGCTCAGTAACAAGCAATCAAGCATGTTGATTTGATTAATGGACTGGTAGTCATGGACCAACCCAGAACCGGACCGGGACCGACATTGTTCCGACCCGGTCCGAACCGGTGGCCCGGCCAGTGACCGGTCCAGGTAGGCCCGACCCGAGGGGTTTCCGATCCGGGCTCAGGTCACCCAAAACATAAACCGGCCCAATTCTGGGCTTAATTTTTTTTTCAATTTTTTTTAATCCCCGTGTTGGGCTGGGTATTTTGGGCCATTTGGGGTGGTTGGGGTTAGACCTGGACTCGGGCCAGTTCGGGCCCGGTTCGGGCCTGGGCCCGGCCGGGCCTCGGGCCAGGAAATGGGAGGCCCGGGCCCGAACCGCTGGTGGCCGGTTCCAGTCCCGGTTCCGGGCCGGGCCGGGCCGGGCCGGGCCGAACCGGCCCACTTAATTTTTTTTTTTTGTTCTCCTATTTAATCCCCTACCCCTCCCCCTCAACCCCAAACCACCCCAAACCACCTCAAATGGCCCAAAATACCTATTCCAACCCAAAACTTTAAAAAAAATTCAAAAAAAAAAAAATTAAATGCGGCCCGGACCGGGCCCGAACCGGCCGGGCCGGTTCACCATTTGGAAGGCCCGGGCCCGGAACCGGGAACCACCGGGCCGGTTCGACCCAAACCGCCTGTGGACCGGGCCACCGGGCCGGGCCGGTTGCTACAGTGGCCGGGCCGGGCCGGTTCCGGGTCGGGCCGCCCGGCCCGAGTCCAGGCCTAGTTGGGGTAATTAGAAAAAGGTGAAAAAAAATGTTAGAGGCCCGGACCCGGACCGGACCCGACAACCCGTTGGCTACCCAGGCTGGTCCCAGGCCCAACACTTTCTAACCGGCGGCCCGGTCAGGCCTAGGCCCAGCCCGAGTCCACCACTATGGACATTTCAGCTCATAAAGGTGGGCATTGTTTTTTTTTTGTAAAAGAATCTACATCATGAAGTCATCACGTCAACGGCTTGATTGCATTTAAGTGCTCCAAACTTTTTAAACAGATGCATGCAGCATGCAGCATGCAGCATGCAGGCAGTAGAGAACCTAAGGGAGATGGGTGATTATCACAAGAAGCAAATCCAAACTTTGACTTTTAATTAAAAACTAGAGGGAATGTTGAACCAAAGTTATTGAAGAAATTATCAAGTTCAGTACACAAGTATTTAGGAGCGATTACACGGGACAATGCCATTAAACAACCACCACATAAAATGTCAAGAAAAAAACATCTTCAAGATATACATGACCACCACCAAATGGAACAGACCAGGTTTGGCAGCTCAAGAGTCTGAATTGACGTATCTCGAAACAACAAGTCTGATTTTTGGTCATCGAAATACAGACCTTTGCAGTTGAAAGCATAAATAGACTTCTTCTCTCAAGGAAAAACCTCTATTCAACTTCTTGAAGATAGTCCTCAATTTCAGCTGGCGTAAGAACTCTGCAAGGAAACCAACAAGCAATCACGCATTAAAGGAAAGGTCATGTACATGCTAACGCTCTTATATCCACTTTCAATGAAGCTAAGAAACTTGCCTGAACACTTTGTCAGCACCAATTATTCCAATCTCAATGTTTTTACCAGAAATTTGCCCTTCAAACCTAAGAACCCATGCACAACAAGGCCGCTGTTATTTTATTCATTTATTGAAAGAAAAAGCAAACATTTAGCAAAATCCTGGATTTAGACTAGTGTTAGGTATACAATCAGGGACGGGGCTAGGGGGCAACCTAGGCCCCGGCCCACTCCAGATTTAAAAAATGGCTCAATTTTTAAAAATATTATATGTACCGGCCCAGCCCGGTGCCTTGGCTCCGCCCTTGTACACAATTGTACTGTGCACAACTGCACACTTAATTATTGAAGCCTTATCTTTAAAAAATTGGATAGTACACTCGAACGGTTAAATGTATGGAAACATGACTAATACTTGAGCATAAAGAAAAAAAAATCAGTGTAGATAATTACCCCTCTTTAAGTGTCAGAATAGCAGTGTGTACAGCATCATCAAGTTCCATATCTTCTGTATACCTAACGCATGAAAAAACAATCATGAGGACACAGTGATGTAAAGAAATGAAAACTTGTAAAACATCCTTGCTGGTACAGTCCATATTGCTTGTATAGCGTTGAGTTATATAAAAAAGCCAAGGCTTTTCATAAAAACTTGCTTTTTATTATTATTATTATTATTTATATTTTTACTCTAGGGGGCGTCTGGAGGAGGGGGGCTAGGGGGCCTAGAGTAATGATGGCTGGAACTCACTCCATTGAGTTTCGAACCCGAGACCTCCCGTCAGGGAGAGCGAGTCTGTGGCCAGGTGGGCTGGACCGCTACCTCTGATGAAAACTTGCTAATGTATATTTTTTATGGATAGCTGATGCTGACAAATTACCAACTGCAAGGCACATTCTTTATGTGCTTATTTCAGTGGTATTTTACATGATGACATCATCTATTGCCTTATGTCACAAACCCAAAATGCAACATTACTAATTACTCCATCTGTCCCCAAAATTCAACGTATTTTTCATCTCAAATAAAGAGTCCAAATTTGATAATAAATTCCTCTAAAGACAAGTGGCAGGCGGTTTTGGGAATTACTCCGGACAATCTTGGAAGTAACATGTCTATGGTATTAGTGACCACTCCTAACTTGTAAAAGCTTGCACTTTCATTGAGCTGACTAAAAAGTATTACCTTATTCAAGAAGCATTTTTTAGGATGGAGCATTATAATAATATTGATCCAAAAAACGGCTTGGAATGTTATAATTATTTTTTAATTTAGAAAAATGCACTACTCTACGTAAATCCTAATGATACTAACTGACCTCTTCTCAAGAAATGTCTTTGCATTAGACACATTCTTCCCCATGGCTGAGGCCTTCCAAGAGAAGTATGATCCGGAAGGATCTACCTATAAGACAATAAAAACTGAATGTTATAAAAGCTGCAAACTTCTTAGACAGGAACATACTTCCTCCAGCTTGGTTGAAGAATAAACCAAAATCAAGAAGCATATAATCATCACCATCATCAGCACCTTAGTCCCAACTAGTTAAGAGTAAATTAATTGTATACAATTAAGTAACACTAGAAAGTCATGCAAAACACATAGTAACAAACTTTTGCACTGATTACCTTTCCTGTCACAACCTTAATAGTTAATATGAAGGGAATAATATCATAAAAATTCTAAAAAAAAATGTCATGACTGGTTATTCCAAAATCCACATACACGAAAAATATCATATGAAAGCTACGAGTTGAGATAATTGCTACTTTCATGTCTCTCACATAATTGATTTTGTGAGACCAGATGGAAATCATGGAACCAGACCATAAGTCAAGAAGATGCATGTGCCCACTCTAACGAATTGGAAATTCAGTATGACAATTGACAAGGATTAGACATGGATAAAATACCTGATAGAGCTGAGGACCTTTATCATCGTACCCAGCAACCAAGAGAGAAACACCAAATGGTCTTACACCACTGCCATGAAATTGCATAAGATATTAAATGGAATCCTTGGAACAGGGCATGGGAGAGCAACAAGCAGGTCAACAATTTGATAATAAAAATAGAAAAGTAATCGCACTAAATATATCCTATGTATCATCTATAAAGTACTTGTAAAGAAGATTCTTTTTTAAAACATTCAAGTAAAGATAAAGTACATCAAGTAATTAGTTACCCTGATTGAGTGAATTCCTGCATCACTGCTGCAGTTTCTCTCACAAGTTGTGTGACAGGGATTGGTTCCTGTGTAAAACAATTAACAGAGTGCATAAAGTGGAATGAAATCTATTAAAGAACATCATCAAATGCTGCAAGCAGCTGGCGCCTAGAGTTTGAAATAAAAGGTTTAAGCTTACTTCTTTTATACTTTGATTAAAAAACCTTCATGTGCATTTTGTTGTAAAAAGGTTGTCGCGCACAAAAAAAAATGTTCATAAAGTGTTACACTGAGGGATTTATAAGAAAGTACTCATACTTTATAGAGACGATGATATTGTTCAGCTTGCTTCCTGCTTTTCCGAACCAAAACTCGAGAATCAGGTCCCATGCCACTGTAGAAGGGAAATAGATATCATTGAAGGGGGGCTCCAACACAGTTAAGTATGGGAGATGACGAATGGAGTGAGATACCTTCCTTCTAAACCAAACGGCCAAAAGCAGAGCTAAATATGCCTAATTGGGCAATATTTGTATCACTTAGAATAAGAGAGATGTACACCCACCCAACCCCGCCAAAAAGTGAAGAAAAAACAACTAGTTTCTAAGGCAAATTCTCTTGAGCATGACTCATACTCATATTCCCTTGTAACTTTGCTAACTCTCCTTTTTTGGTTGTCCCAATAACTTTGTCACTTTCCTTTTTAAAAAATGAAGTTGTGGTTCTTAAGTCTCCCTACTCTACACAAACCTCGACCAAACAATTTTTACTTTATGTCAGCCAACTTTAGCAAAGTTATAAGGGGTGGAGAGAGTACAAAACTAGCAACAAATTGATCTCTAATAAGGCAAAATCATCACTTAAGTGTTATCTCACATAGTAGACATGGAGTAGAAACTAGAAAGAACAGCTAATCATGTTTATGAAAAGAAGTTAGGAATCTCAAGGATGGATGCTAAGCAATTTAAACCCTAGTTATCATACCTGTATACAACTCCAATATTTGGTGTCAGGATCTGAATCTTTTGCACCTGTTATAATACATTTTAAGTATCAACATCCCCTTGTTATTTAAAGTACAGCAATATGTAGCACACATAACAAAATATGGCGATGAAAGAAAGACAACATTTGTTGGAGGGGTGGGTGCAGAGGTAAACAAAGAGCAATGTTTTGTGAGTACGAAAATATACTTACAGAAGTTTCATCAACCAAAATGGATGGTAGTTTCTTCTCAGTGGCAATAACGACACCATTAGAAGCTGTAATTGCCACAACAGATTTAAGAATCACTTCTTATGGATATGCTACAAATATTTTGTTGCACGCATGGATACACTAAATAAACTAGCAGCATATATATGATATTTCAGCACAATGTGACTGGGAAAGGTCCAATCGACAACTTGTTACAGCACATCTCAGACCCTTGGCACAACACTTTCTTGCAAATGCATGAAAGATAGATTAATTTAAGTTGATGGGGGATGAAATCAGAGGGTTTATTCAAGATCTTGCTGCCTGTTTATGTATGTTGTAAGTTGTAAGAGTTGGTGTATTGTGTTGCAAAAGGGACCGCATTGATACTATATAGGGTGAACTTCATGTGAAGTTTATATGATATTTTGCTGTATTTTGTAGCGTTTCAAACATTTTATATCTCGTTGCAATTTAAGAAGGTGCTGAGAATCTGTTCTAGTTACCAATTCGGAACCCTTGGTGGAAACTTACAGAAAATCTTTAAATGAATAACAGAATAAGCGTTGTGCCTTAACTAATTTTTGAGAAATATAAATTATATGGATTTAATGTCAAATGGTAACAAAACTCCTAAGTCCCAACTCAGAAGAGTATTATATTTTTTAATTAAACATTTACAGAGCAAATAAAGATCTCTTGACTGCAGAAAAAGTAAATTTTTTTAGTGTTCAATAATACATATTCACCACAATTAAATGAGAGGCATTCCTTACACCTAGGCCCATTGCTAACTATGAATGAAGATAACAGTAGTAAATTACTCATTACCTTTTATCCCTAAAGATGTTTGGCCAGAAGCAACCGCAGTTAAGGCATGTTCAATCTGAACTAGTTTTCCAGAAGGGCTGTGTGGCAATAACTTATAATAAGAATAATACAAGGGAAGAAAAGAATATAACCTACTTTTCAAGCATTCACCATATCAATATTTTTTCTTTTTATTTTTATGTTTGATGTGTTGGTCTATACCTGAAAGTGGTAAGAGAGAATGAGTACTGACTGTCTCCCATGGAATATTTTGAAACGTCACTATATGTTCTGCAAGCAAGTATACTCAAGTCAAAAATCAGGATTTTATTATCACTTTTAACTACTCAAAGAGATGCACTTTTGTATAAATTCACTTTAGAAGAAAAGAGCAGCATAGAAAATGTGTGATGAATAGTTTTCTCATGAAAAGTTTGAACCTTTTAGAATTTAGAAAAAAAGTAAAAAAAAAAAAAGTTCAAGCCATCAAGTTCAGCAGAAATTTCATCTGTAGTGTTCCTTTTCTGCCCAAGGTGAGAAGGTCTTAGTTATTCCATAGATAAAATTCTGTGAATTGTTACAATAATTCCAACTGTCGTTTCATTTTCCTATGCAAACTTGAATTGTGCAGAAAGTCAGTAACTATGAGGCCATTTGGCAACACTGTTTTTCGGCTTATCAGGCTTATCAGCCAACTTTTTCACCAAACACGTAACTTTTGCTTTCGTGCGCTGAATTGTGTAATAAGCAGAAAAAGTAAGGTTGAAGTTACTTTTCTAGTTGTATTGACTGAAGTTACTGTAGATGACCATTTTAGCTATTTTTACATATCATTTTTCTTTATTTTATTAATAAAATACGGAGTATATTTTAAAAATATTTTTTCTTAAATCAGCATAATCAGCCAATGCAGCAACTTTAGCCAGAACTTAATAAATTACAGTAGAATCAGCCAAATCAGACAATTTTCATGCTAGTATGCTACCAAACAGCTCTATATTTTGGGGCTATATATTCTCCCTAAGTAGAGCACAAATTTGAAACAGAAACTGTGAAACGGTATTTAAAATTATATACGGACTATTATATATACTAAAGGCCAGGAAGCGCGTAAGTGTGTAACTATTTAAATATATAAAGGATATATTTATAATATGTTTAGGCATATGTGTAAACATATTTTTTTCGGAATGCATATTTTTTCATATACCAAATCTAAATAACCAATTATAAAACTAGTCTACATGTTCAAATAGATAGTAGTACATAATGACTCTCTACGTAATGTCTATATATAAGCTGGACAGCCTGAAATAACCGTTCCCGCCTGAAAATGATGATGTCACTGTGACATCTTCATTATGCCATTAGTTAATCTGCAGAATTTTGGCTCTCCTCCGTACTAAGGCAAAACTGCCAGAGTGCCAACAACACTTACAAACAGAACTTTGGTTAGTCATTAAATTACAGCTTATTACAACTCCTTAATTTCGAAAATTTCATGCTTTAGATGAAATAACACATAAAGAACGAATATCAACAACACCCTCTAAGCTTGATCTATTCACTGCTGATGATATAAAAAGATATATACAAACAAACAAAACAAATGCGATGAAATAAGAACGGTTAGTGATAATCGGACTAACCTCGGGATATTAGACGAACGGAGTGGTGTAGAGTGCGTCCGACCTAAGGGGAAGAAGAGCTGGAAACGTAGAGAGCAAGATATAGCGTAAGACCGTCGGGCTGAGAGAGAGATGGTAGATCGGATGAATTGGTATACCGAAGTCATTTAATTGGACTGGTTCAAACAATTTGGGCCAATAACTTTAGCCTGTGATTTTCTAATTGGACTGGATCAAACACTTTGGCCCGATCATTTAATTTGGCAGATTTGAAATTGTACTAACACTTCTTTTAAAAAATTGTCAACTTCCAAAATGATCTTTGTACCCACTCTTATACCCACTTTTATACTCACCTATGTTTGTAAAATGTTTTTTTGTCTGTGAACCCCGACTCACAAACAATATTTTGCACAAACAAAATATTGTATATGAACCGGGTTCACAGACAAAAAAACCCTCCACAAACATGGTGGATATAAGACCTCAACTATGTAACGATTGATGACGTGACAGTCGAGGCTAGGGGTGTGGACGTGGGACTGGCGGGACCGAACAACGTAACACCCTTCGGTCTTTACTACGGAGTACTATCGTACAATTTAGTTGTTTAGTACTAGTATACTACTCCCTCCGTTCCCAAAAATACTTCCCACTTTCCTTTTTGGGCCGTTCCCAAAAATTCTTCTCACTTTCCCTTTTTGGACAATTTGTGTGGCTCACATTCATTTTACCTTTTTCTCACACAACCACACATTTCCACTTTATTCCACTTTCTTAATAGGCGTGCCAATTCAAACCGGGAAGAATTTTTAGGAACGGAGGGAGTACGTATTAATATTTCTAGCATTCATAAAATATGCAGTATGAGGTGTATATTAAGCTACTCTATTGTTCCAAAAAAAAAAGCTACTCTATATCACCTAACATTTCACGACCGAGGGAGAACAATTCTATGAGTAGGTCATTATTTTCTCGAGTAAAGAGTCAGTTTGGTCCTCGAAGTTGCAAAAAAGGCGTCAAATAAGTCCTTATATAGAAGATTCTGCCCGGACGTGCCATTTGAGGTGGCTCCTGGTGGAATTTTGTGATAAATTTTTTTGAGCATCTTATTCATTAAGTCTAGTTTACTCATACCAAATTTCAGCTAAAAATTCAATCGGGAAGACATTCAAATGAATTCTTGAAGATAACAACGCTTTTAACGGCACAGTTATCTTCAAGAATTCATTTGAATGTCTCCCCCATTGAATTTTTATCTGAAATTTGGTATGAGTAAACTAGACTTAATGAATAAGATGCTCAAAAAATTTCATCAAAAAATTCCACCGGGAGCCACCTCAAATGGCACGTCCGGACAGAAACTTCTATATAAGGACTTATTTGACCCCTTTTTTGCAACTTCGAGGACCAAACTGACCCTTATCCCTTATTTTCTCTATAGACAGCATGATTTTTTCACCTTCAAAAGAAGAATTCTTAACTACTTTCATTGCCTTAATAGTGAGCGTTTTGACACAAAAAAATAGAATGTACGGCGTGTATATAATTAAACTATACACAATCCACACAATGATCATACTTCCATTTCGTTGTTCGAGAGTCAACTTAAATCACTCTTAAACTTTTACTTTTTGTATCAAAACTTTATGAAAATTGATTTTTTTTTGCAGGCTTTGTAGCGGGTTTAATGTAGTTTCTGAATATGTAAATTTTATTTACTAAAAATAATCCGAGTTTTCACAGGGATCATTTAACTTTATCGTCGGTCAACCTTCGTAATCCGCAATTGGAACAACATTCAGGGACGGAGGGAGTATTTACTTTTCCTTTTTGCCGTAAGCATTGTTGCTGTCAACATTCATTTTTTGGTAGTCCAACTAACTTTTGCAATTCTCCATTTTAATTAAAGATTTGCAGCTCCGGTTAATTCTCTGTCCTTTACACAAAACTTAATCACTAAATTTTAATTTATTATTTTTCATGCAAGTCAAACTAGCCGAGTTTTTAGATGGAGTATTTTTTTTACTACTTATTTGACAACATTGAAATCAATTTAATGGATTGAATCTATTGAAATTGGTGATTTGCAAAAATATTATACTCCCCGTCCCGCTAAGATTGTTCCAACATTTTTTTTCGGTCTGTCCCACTAAGATTGTTTCTTAACAATCTTAGTAAAATTGATGTGATTCAAAATCATTCTTAATTTATCAATTTAATATCAACCACATAAATTCATCTTTATTGGTATGCGTGCCGCCCCCTCATGTCCCTTTGTTATTGGTACGGATGGAGTATTTAAAATAATTTTAATGATAAATAAAAAAAATGACAGGTTTAGTTGGTAACAGAGACACTTGATTGGTGGCTTACTAAATTTCAGAGTTGAGTATTTTTTTACCATTTGATGGTTTGATGACGAACACTTTGTCGTAGTGCGTCAAAATAAATCGATACTAACACTTATACGTAGTACAATGAAGTAGAGTTCGTATCCACATGGAAAAGAATAACTTTCTTTTCAATTAACTAGTACTAAAAGGGGGTTTTGGGATTGTATGATTTAATTATTAAAACTACAAGTTGAACGACTTATATGTGATTTAATTCAAAGATGAAAAGGACTTGGCCTTGCTACTTTCCACTTGTTGATATATATAGTCGATCATTGTTATATCTATAATTTATCCTCTCTCGAATACTCAATCGAGGAGTAACTCCAATTCATCGAGGGTAGTTATTAACAACGACCGTTCATTAACAACTCTTACTATTAATCAAATATAGAACAATGTCGTATACTGATTTAATAGTAGCATTTAATCTTTTTAACTCTTTGATGAAATCAATTAAGATTGATAACCTCAACACAACGGTTTCGGTTTAACCAACAAAATTAATCCCTCTTAAGTTTATTAACCACGACCGTGCATTAATAAACCGATGTTACTTACTTGTGAAACCATCAACGATTAATCATCGGTTCGTTGATCGTTTCTAGTAATAATTAATGTCGAAGCGTTAACTAATCGTTACTTAGCAACACCCCAACATTAATATAGAATGAGATTAAGGGAAGAATTAATAATCAAGAGAAGAAAATAACTCACAACTTTAATAATCAACAAGCTTCAAGAACAAAACCAAGAAATGGAAGTTTAGCTCCTCATTTGGAGACTAAACATGCTAGAAAAATATAAAGAAATGTTAGTGAACGAAAAGTGTGCTATTTATAGGTTTTTTTCAACACCTTTGACCGGGTACCTGACTGGGTGGAGTACCTCACCCGATCGGGTGAAGTAATTTCCTAGCAGTTTCATTTGTTAAGTCCTGCCCGACTGGGTGAAGACCTCTACCCAGTCGGGTAGGTTCATTGGGCAACATTTCTTCAGATTATTCCTCTTTTCCAACATCTACAACTCTACCAACACTTTACAACTTACAAATAAAAGCTAAAAACAATTACAAACAAATTAAAACAATTGTTTACAAACTAAATAATAATGGTAAACAATCCACACAAAACATACAAAAAAATCTATATTTATGTACTACTAACTAGTGCATATCATTTGACTACATGATTTTGAAGAATGAAGATTTAATTAACTTCTTTTATATAAATTCCCCTAAAATTTTGAAGTTTTTTTTGGAACATATAAAATTGAAGTTATAAATTGAAATTGTTTTATGGGCCAACTTAATATTCTGAAATTGAAAAGTACATAGTATTACATAAGTCCATAATATAACGAATTGAACTCCTCAATTAAGGAAGACCTTGATCAAATACTTTTTCCATCTCAAATGAAATGAGGTAGTTCTTATTTTCACAAATGTATCCTTAAACTAGTTTTCCAACGCGCAATCGCGCGTTCGTGTAAATGTCCAAGGCTATTGCACGCATATCAATTTATGGAGAAAGTATGGGTGAATATATGACTAATAAGAATAAACTACTTCAACATAGAAAAAGAACATATTTCTAGAAAAAGTAAATATAAATGTTTCCATTTTGTCAAATCGATTATTACAATCAATGTAAATGTCAAATAAACACTGGGGGTATGTATTCTTGATAATATTTTCTATAGGGGGCGAAAAGGGTTCATATGATTTCAACTTTGTATGCTTGTCATTCGTTATGTTCAATTAGAAAGAAATGAATAAAGAATATCTTGGATGGAGATTTGTAGCATAATTCAAATAAGTACAGATTGAGATCGTAGAAACATAAGCTCGTGAAATGACCCAGGCCTAGGAAGGATTAAAGTAAATACAACAAGAGTGGCGGTCAGGCAACATAGGCCTTCCCCAAGGATTAAAGTAAATACAACGAGAGTGACGGTCAGACAACATAGGCCTAGGATGGGTGGCGAGGAACAATAAAGGGCTTGGCCGGCGTTGCTTTTAACCGACTTGGAAAATGCCAACCAAGAGAGCTAGAGGCGTTATCCATAAGACTGGTCAGTGCAAGAATGATAAATAAAGGACAAAAATCATGTATGAAATAGAAAAGATAATTCATACATATCATAGTCCAAGCGAACTCACTTAAAATGTTTAATGAACTATAATTGGTCATCATATTAACAAATAAATGTGATTCTTAATGACAAAGTTGACCCAACAGACACATGTACTATAGTTAATCTAATTAGGGGTGTTAGATCGAGTATACAATGTTCAAAAGGGTCAAATTTTAACATATTTTGTCATTCAAAGTTTAAATATGTCTTTTGGATTATAATTTCTTATTAATTATTTGTGGAATGTGATTGAGGGAGCTTCACAAAAGAAAGACACATATGCCACATACAATGTTCAGATAGGGTCAAATATTGACATATTTTGTCATTCAAGTTTATGTATGTCTTTTGATTTGTAATTGCCTGTTAATTATTTGTGGAATGTGATTGATGGAGCTTCACAAAAGAAAGAGGCTCGTTATTTTGTAAAACGAAGATGTTATAAAAAAACATATTCTTTTTATAAAACAAAAAGTCTCTAGAGTTTATTTTAGTGGTTATTGATTAACATCTACATGCAGCCGCTTAATTAGAATGTTTTTTACTTGTTCTTTTGTTTTCAATCAACAACAAATAAAGTCTCTAGAGTTTATTTTAGTGGATATTGATTAACATCCATTTGGGAAAAGGTGAAAAGTATCACACATTTCTTATTTCTCAGTTTCACTCCCACGTACCATAAATCAAATTGTGAAATATAAAATTCGATCCTTCAACCGAAGC